GGTACCTCACTGAAGTCTGTATAGTCCTGTGGTTAACATCATAGGTTTGGGGACGTATTACCCATATTCAAATCCCGCTTTGCTACTTCTTTGCTGTGTGACACCCTGGGCAAATCACATATGTCATACTTTTTGGCCACAAATGGGACTGATAACAGTGGTACCTGTCTCAGAGAGCTGTTGCAAGGACTAATCAATAGATAAGTGTAGAGGGCCTAACGTTTACTATGTAATGTACATAACTTTCAGATACAGAGTTGTTAGTTTCTCCCAGGCTTACACCTTAGGAAGGTGTAGAATGTAATGGGCATTGTTCCTTCTGATTCGATCTGTGACATTATGTTTGTGATTTAGCAATATGTTACTAAGATTCATCTAGATAGTTACATCTCAGCATACCTCATTTAATTTCCCTCTTCTGCAATATTTCATTGTAAGCCAAGGTTATCTATACACTCTCCCACAGATGCTCTTTGAATTGTTTCTAGCTTATTATTATTAACAGTGTGACTATGAAACTTGTCTAATTGCTTCCTATTGTATATGTGTAAAATTTCCTTGGGAATAGAGTTGCTCAGCAGCAAGATAGGTGAATATTTATTCAGTTTTAGAGGGAAATACCAAAAATGTGCTTCAAAGAATTTACAATTTACATTGCTTCAAAGAATTTACAACAATTTACACTTCTACCAACAATGTACAAGAGATCCAAGGGTCCACATCTCTTCTTATTAGACATTATTTTTATTATGTATGCTTTTTAAATAGATTTTTATTGAGATAATTGTATTTATGAGAAGCTATAAGGAATAATAAAGATCAGTGTACCCTTTCCCTAAGATGCCCTCAGTAGTAACATTTTGCAAAATTATAGCACATTACAACCAATATAATAATATCGATCAAGTATAACCACTTATTTGGATATCCCCAGTTTTACTTGTATTAATGTGTGTATGTAATATTATTTAGTTCTGTACAGTTTTATCACCTGTGAATGTTTGTGTATCCACAACTATAATCAAGATGCTGAACAGTTCCGTCACCATAAAGGTGCCCATGTGGCCCTTTTATAACTTTATCCACCTCCTGCCTATCCCCGGTCCTTAGCCCCTGGCAATTGCAAACAGTCCTCAAGTTCTAAATTTTTTTCATTAAAATAAAATGGTATATAAATGGAATCATGAAGGAGGTAGCCTTCTGGGAATGACTTTTTTCACTTGGGACAATTTCCTGAAGATTCATCCAAGTTGTGTGTATCAGTAGTTTTTCCCTTTTATTGTTGAGTAGTATTACATGGTGTGGACATACCACAGTTTGTTTAACCATTAGCCTGTTGAAGGACATCTGGACTACTTTCAGTTTTTGGCTATTATGAACAAAACTGCTGTGAACATTTGTGTACAGTTATTTTTTGTGTGAATACAAGTTCTCATTTCTCTGGAATACATGTCCAAAAGTACAAGTGCTAGGTTGTGTGGTGATTTATGTATACTTTTTAAAGAAACTGCCAAACTGTTTTCAGAGCATTTATACCATTTTATATTCCCACGACACAGTGTGAGTGATCCATTTTCTCCACACCTTTGCCAGCATTTGTTATCACTGTTTCATTTCAGTCATTTTGATAGATATGTACAGCAAAATCTCATTGTAGTTTTAATTTGCATTTTCCTGATGCCTAATGATGTTGAACATCTTTTCATGTGTGTATTTACCATCTGTATATACTCTTTGGTGATACATCTGTTCAAGTCTTTTACCCATTTTCTAACAGAATTGTTTGGTCTCACTAGTGCATTTTGAGAATTCTTTATAGATTCCATATATGAATCTTTCATTGAGCATGTGGTTTACAAGTATTTTCTCCCAGTACATAGCTTGTTTTTTCATCTTCTTCATATGATCTTTCACAAAGCAAAAGTATTTTGTTTTGATTAAGTTTGATTTGTCAACTTTTCTTTTTATAGGTTTGCACTTTTGATGTTCACTCTTAGGAGCTCTTTGACCCTACATTCCAAAAATTTACTACTATTTTTTTCCTAAAAGTTTCGTGGTTTTTGCATTTAAATTGATGATCCACTTTGAATTAATTTTGGTATAAAGTATGGGGTTCAGGTGAAGTTTTATTTATTTATTTATTTATTTATTTGTGTTATATCTTTCATGAATGTCCAATTGCTCCAGCACCACCTGTTGAAGTAATTCTGTGCACTTGTCTAAAGCCATTCTGTGACTTAAAATCATACAGTTGAGTGTATTTGTATGGGTCTATTTTTGGCTTTTCTTTTCTTTTCTATTGATGTTGTGTCTCTCTCTGAAATAATATCCTGCACTGATTTCTGTAGCTGTGTAATAGTAGTCTTAAAAATGCAAAATTATTCCTTCCACTTCATCCTTCCTTTGTCATAATCGTTTTAACTGTTTTAGGGTCTATGCCTTCCTATAGAAATTTTGGAATAAGCTTGTCTATACCTAAAAAAACTTTTCTGGGATTTTAATAGAAATCATATTGAACCTATAGGTCAGTGTGGGGATAATTGACATCTCTACTATGTTCAGTCCAATCCATGAGCGTGATAAACCTCTCCATTTATAAATATCTTCTTTGATTTCTTCTCTCAATAGTGTAGTTTTCAGCACACAGATCCTGCACAGGTTTTAAGTACATACCTAAATATTTCATTATCTTTGGGGCAATTATACATGTTATTAAAGTTATTAATTGTATCCAGTTGAATGAGCACAAATTATATTGCATTATGAGCTTGATTTTTTTTTACTATCATCACCAATGTAGTTAAACATTCTCTTCATTTATTTATTGGCCATGTGTATTTCTTATTCTCTGAAGTGTCTATTCATGGTTTTTTTATGTATTCTTGATACTTCTACTTTTTTAGTTTTTTATATTGAATGTATCTCCCAGTTGTAACTTGTCTTTTTATTTTCCTTAAGGTGTTTTTGATGAAGAACTTTTAAAAAATTTAATATCACTAATATTATCAATCTTCTAATACCTTACTTTGGAGCTATATAGAATTCATATCTCTAGGTCAAAATGACTGAGTGAGCTGACTAAACAGAACATTTTTGTTGGAAACAATTTTAAAGTAGAAAATGTCAGTTTTCATAGTCCTCTTCTAAATAAGCAGACAGAAATTGCTCCCTTTCTAAGACCCCCATCTACAATGTACCCCAACAATTAATTGTTTAAGGTGAAAAAAGTTAATTGACTATTTCAAATAAAGTGAAATAATATCCCCAATAGTTTTGAAAGAGAAAGAAAACTATTCTCCATTTAAAGTAAGTTTTCCCATAAAAGCTGACAGAAATAGATTCCTGAAGTTTCTTGAGACTTCAGTTTTCTCTGATTATTTCCAAAAAACAAATTAATTTCTATCTCATGACTTCTCGCGATATCCTGTTTTAGAATATTATCAGTGTGCTACAGTAGGACTGACTCCCATGTTGGCACTGGCTTTGTATTTGGCTATTAACTCCAGCTATTGTTGATAGTGTAATCCTGATTGATGAAACAAGGGATGTTTGGTGTTCAAAAATATAGTATACAAACTTTGAACTGAGCTGTACTGTTTAGCTTCCACAATAAATATCTGAGTATTTCATTGGCAAATACATTTTTCCTCAATCTGGGAAAAGGATGTAGGTGTTCCATGCATATTTATGTCTGGGGAAAAAAACAAAATCCTTTCAGCAAAATGTGGCCTGGTAGATGCAGAGACATGTATTAAACTGCCTACCCCAACCATGATAGTTCAATATTTTTCCTTCCCAGAAAAATAAAATAATTCAGTTTATTTATGGACACTTCTGTATTTCAGTTTTCATTGCATAAATTATGTTTCAACTATGTTTTCTTGTCATTTTAATGTTTGAAAAACGAAATAGGGATTTCCTGGGCAATTTCAAGATGTTAATGTGGATACAAAGAAACACACATACGTAGTATTCATGATCTCCATTCCTAATAGGACAATTCAGCAAAGCTGAGCTGTCCTTTCTGAAGCACAAACTACACTAGGAAGCAATGCTTCTATAGGTACTAATACCATGAAATTTTTAAGGGTTCGTAAACACCTTGAGAATATTTTACAGTCTTGGGTCTGTGTGAATGTAAGTGGTGGTTTTCACCTAGTCAAGCACAGACTACACTCTATCAGCTTCTCCTTTGTTGCAAAGATAGCCGTTTGCCCTCTGCATCTTGCCCACTATCACCGTGGGCTGGAACTTTCCCTGAGGGTAAAGCTGAATGTGGTGCCACTCCAGCCACTGGGCATCCTTTTTTAGATTCTTATTCTGAGGCCCAATTGAGCCATTTAAAAAATTAATTATTTAAATGATATTTAGGGACAAAATCTTTTTGTCACGTTGACACAGTGTACAGAAGACTTTGAATTTGGGGATACTGTTGGGCCCTTTTCCAATTTTCTTCCTCCACAAACCCTCTCTACGTTAGCAGAGGTCTTTGTACTTTTCTTAGATTAAATTCATGGCCCTGACTTTTCCTTGAATTCAGGAAGCCCATATTTCTCTTCTCCTATCAATTCCTCCAGCATAGACTTATCAGGACAGGAGAGCTGCTGCTCTGCTTCCTGGCAATCTTCCATCACTGCTGACTCTCCCTCACTGGTGTTGCTAAGACCTTTCCTGGAAAGAATCTGCAGGCTGAAACCCAAAGCTGGATGAGTGTGCACAGACACTACTTTCTGAAATACACAGAAGGATTGAGTTGCCAGGATGGTGCGAACCTGCCAGTGTTCTCCTAACTATTTCCAGAACACTGGCTCTGCTGCCATCCATTACCACAATTTTTTCCTAGTAAAAATGCATTTTTTTTACTAGGTTGCAAAAACAGTTGCTTGAATGGGAACTTCGTTGTATTCTTAACACTAAGTTATCTGAAAAGCATCAAATAGGCTCCTTCTTTTAAATATTCCAACAGTAACATGGGCTCTTCTCTGGTTTATACTTTGCAGAAGTGAAATTTTTCTGTGAAACTCCAGCTATTGCTGATATTGTAATCCTGGTGGATGGTTCTTGGAGTATTGGAAGATTCAACTTCAGACTGATTCGACTTTTCTTGGAAAACCTGGTTACAGCATTCAATGTGGGCGCACAGAAGACACGAATTGGTACATCTTCTGTTATTGACAGCAGTCGACTGTCAATGTAAAAATGCCAGGAGGCTTTTTAAGAAATTTCAAAAATTCTTTAAAAAGAGACTTTCAGGATTACAGAATCAACTATAATGATATTCCCAAAAGCACATGTTTGGATCAATAAATATTTATTCCTACTAATTTATACTATGACTGTCATTCCAATAATTACTGAACACATTTTAATTTTCTAAAAGGTCAGAATCTTCCCTGCCTAATAACAATAACAATACAAATAACAAAAAGGTTTAAAATTACAGCTGTTTTAAGACTATTGGGTAGAAGTTTTCTTTTTATTTAAAAGAAACCTGCATCTAGTGAAATTTTGAACTATGAAAATTAGAAATTGGAAATCATTACATAGTACAAGATACTTTTGCCAATTCTAGAGAAGGTAAAAAAAAATTGTAAATCTTTGAGTAATATATCCACAAAAATAAAGTCTCATTGTTTAACTTTTAAATAGCCTGTAGGGAAAATCATTAAGGAAAATCTTTGAGAATAAAAACAAATAAATCTAGGTCTTTTATCTACATGATCAGACTTAAAAAAAAATCCCAAGTACCTAGTAGGGTGCTTACTTATAAATGGCTGGAAAAAACGTGCATTCTTCCTATACCCAGATATGTCCAAACGAATTCCTTAAATTGATGTCAGGAATTCTTTGAAAGCACATAGTGAGGCAGAAAAAAAAAGGTAAAGATTAGGCCTTTCATCATTCTAGTGTCTTGAACAGTCTACTAGGTTTTTGAGTAACCACCATTTCTGGGTGGGCTTTCTCATCTTTTTTCCAGGTCTTGCACAGTACAGCGGTGACCCCAGAATAGAATGGCACTTGAATGCCTTTAACACAAAAGATGAGGTGATCGAAGCTGTCCGAAATCTGCCATACAAGGGTGGAAATACACTAACAGGTATGATTTGTTCAGTCCATGTTTTTAGCAACACAACTTGCTGAAGAATAGCTTCATTCTGCTATTTATTTATTTCTTCATTTATTACTTCATTCTGCCACTTGTAAACCTTAGGGTAGTATTTTTTAACCAACGTAGCATTTAAAATTCTTAGGCAGTTCTTTTCTCAAATTCAGCACTGAGAATTAAAATACAGCTCATTCCTTTGGCTCTATGAAGATGAGGTCCCCAGAAGGCCTTGGCTGGGCTAGAAGGAGACGCAACCGTCCCTGAGGCTGACAGTCTTCAGTGACTGCCTTGACTTTTGTCATTTCATTTTCCTTCCTCTTTTCACCTGTTTTCTTCTCTGGCTACATTTCATTTCACTTAAGTGAAAACAAACTTCTACCTTATTTTCAAGGAAGGTATTTTCTTTTGCCCTTATTCTGCAATAAGTCATTATTAGGAAAATATCTGTGGCTCTTTGGCTCATTGGTGCTTATTTTCGATCAACAAAGAATGCAGGAGTATTTAGATTAAAATTTTCCCAGCCACAAAGTGTGATTGCAGGTTTTCATCTTAGTGCATGCTCTTTCTTACCTTCCCCAGGCACACAGTTTAAGCTCAGTTTAAGCAATGTAGATGCTGTCATTGACTTTTAAGTAAACCACTGAAATCTTGATCATTACTTTGTCAATTTGAGGCATAATCTCATGGGTCTCAATACAACCAAAATTTTAATAAACACACATCTTTTAACACTGTGGCAGCATTTCTTATTTTTTCTGGGTGAAAAGCGTCAGACCCAAAAGGCAGGGGTTCAATTATTATTTTGGATTTGCCTCCACTATTCCTAAAGAAGAGAGACAGAAAATTTTTGGTTCTTTAGACCATCATGAGCAAAATTGAAAGCATGGTCATAATATTTGGGACAGTCACTTGCTTTATCCTAAATATAAAGGTTGAGATCTACTTGTACACCTATTGTCAACATCCATTGGCTAATGAATTCAATGTTCTTTCTAAATGCTAGTTTCTGAAATAATGCAGTGCTTGGTTTATTTTTATTACTTCTGTTTTGATGGATTTTAATTTTTTGTCAGATCTGTCAAGGAAAAGGTCATTGTAAAAATGAAGATGAAAATTCACATCTAATAAAAACTCTTTTAACTCAATAAACTACTCTCTTGTGGTTATATTTTACAGAATTGGAAGGCATTTTATTAGAGATGGTTGGTTTGTGTTTACTTTTCCTTGTCTTTTTTCCAGGTCTTGCTTTGAACTACATTTTTGAAAACAGCTTTAAACCAGAAGCTGGAGCAAGGACTGGAGTATCCAAAATTGGCATTTTGATCACAGATGGAAAGTCCCAAGATGATATTATTCCACCATCCAGACGCCTTCGTGAATCTGGTGTAGAACTGTTTGCCATAGGTGTGTGTTTTCAGTGATCTTGTTTCAACAGAGGACATAGACACACAACCACTTAAATGTAGTATGTAATATGCAATATGTAATGCAACGTGCACTTTGTAAAGATCCAGGAGACCAGAATGCTTTCTGGTCCTGACTCTCATAGCCAGTCATGTGATCTGAGCCTAACTTCCTTACATTTAAATGGAAGTGATGGTAACTCTCATGTATCCTACAGTGTGAGACCCTCTAGGTGACTGGCCATACATAAGTTTTGTGAAAAGCATGAAGTGGCATGAGAAGGTTAGCTACATGGTAGCTTTCATTAGGGAGGACTTTCTTTTTAGTATCCCTTTATAGCTCTGTTTTCTCTGGTAGTAGAGGGAGAAACCAGTTTGTCATTTTCAAGGAATTAAGGTCCTGCAGCTGTATAAAGAAAGCACACAGTTATAGATATGCATATTATTTCTTTGAAACTAATCCTTTATAAGGTATCAGTCTTGCAGAGAAGAATACATATGGCACACATTTAGAATAACTGCAAAATATGTAGATGATGCAGTTTTGCTCTTGATTGAAACGATTACCTTTCCTTTGGCAGTAGGAAGGTCTTCTATTTAGTAGAGATAGACCCAAAACAAAACATAACAAAAACAATTCCTTTGTCCCATTCCTAGATTTGCTATTCAAAATGTGGCTTATAGGTTGTTTCATTGAAGAAGTACTTGCTTATTTGCTGTCTGCCAGGCACTGTAGTGGTTGCTGGGACACAAAGATGAGCAAGGTAAAATCCTTACAGAACAAATTTCTTCCAAATCACCATGATCATTTTCTTGCTTTTCCATGCTCTTTTTAACACTCAAGCTATTTTGTTTGGAAAGGTGAGAGAGATTTGGGCCTGTCTTCCCTAGAATATTCTTATGTGAATCCAAGCTTGTTAGTTTTAACTAATTACCGTTGAACACATCATTGACATTAAGCCCAGTGCTTCAGCATGAACTCAATCTTAGTTTGTTGTTGTGGACACAGACCCAGCTGTGCTTTTAGGAAGCTATTGTAGAGTTCTCAGGCAAGAAACATTTCTATTTCTTATTTCTTATTTCACTATCCTTTTGTCCAACAAAGGAAATCCCTGCAGAAGGAATACTTAAACTAATGGGGATTAATTAATGTGTTACTCCCCATTCTGTGTTTTTGTTAAAAACAAGTAGAAGAGTTTTGAAACAAAACTACGTGAACTTATTCAGATGTGATGTGGACTTTTTCTTTGGAAATCAGTAGTATGTATTATCTTATAAACCCCCTAAAGCAAATAGTTCAGAGAGAACCAATGCTTTATAACTTCACATGTTGAGGTTGGAAGAGAAATTAAATGGCACCTAAGGAGTCATTCATGTTGCCCTAGGTAATCTCTCTTCCTTGCTTCCATAGAACCTCTTCGAATGCCTTCAGATGGTTGCAATGACAGGGATTTATAAAGAAATGTTCATTTGCTGAAACTTAGGGAAGAGAAATCTCCCTTCACAGCCATAAAACCCAACCCTGTGCCTCCCTGTTTCTATTTCTAATTTCACTGGTAAATATTTACTCATTTTAATGTACCATCTTCTTAGGGGCTGTATGACATAATGGTTAAGAGCATATGACTTTAGTCAACTATACTTCCATTAAACAAAGAAAGCATCTGACTTTGGATCTGGACTGCCTGGGTGGCATCCCAGCTGTGCACTTACTGGGTGTGCTTCTTTGAGTAGGTTAATTAACCTCTTTGTGCGTCTCTTTATGTGTCCATAAAATGGGAGAAACAATAGTGGCAAATTCAAAAAGGTTGGTTTAACGTATTAAGTAAAACACTGTAGTTACCGGGGGCATAATAAGCACGCTTTGCTAGCATCCTTTGCTCAGAGACTAGAAAGTTGCATGAGGCCAAGGATTTTTTGTCCCCCTCCATTCCCTGCTGTATTCCAAACACCCAGCCCTGTGTTTGACTTGATGTAAAGGAATTCAGTAAATATTGTGGGAGAACCAGTTTTCCTATTTGCATAGCAAAATTGCAGTGGTCACTATTGTGTATGTGAAAAAATTGAGTATGTGAAAAATTTGAGTATGTGAAAAATTTTTCCCAAGCTTTCTCTTAATGCTGTATGATAATATTATTGTTAAATATAATAAAAGAATAATGAATAATAAAGCATAATATATATGTGTTTTATTATAGCAGTAACTCTCAGTTTAAGTAACTTACTTTATAGAAATATAAACCTGAAGTTTTGGTAGTTCAGAAAACTGGTTTAATTACTATTGTTTTGCAATAGTCAAGCCAGATGGAAGTTAGTTTCATCAATACATCTTCCTGTTAAGATATACTGAACAAAATTAAGATCGAATCATTTAAAAATGATGCTGAAGTTTACAAAATCTGATACTAGATGGGCCTCTTTAAAGTAGTGGATGCAGCGGCACAGTCTTAAGTAGATAGCAGCGGCACAGACCCAGGTCAGGATCGCTGTAGTGGCCTTATGAAACTTGGCATGAAAGTCACGCCCCACCCTGTTGTCTTCCATGAAAGGGGTGAAAAACGCGGATGAGAACGAACTGCAGGAGATCGCCTCTGAACCGGACAGCACCCATGCGTACAACGTCGCTGAGTTTGACCTGATGCACACCGTTGTGGAAAGCCTAACGAGGACGGTGTGCTCCAGGGTGGAGGAACAGCACAGGGAGATCAAAGGTACAAGGGGTGAGGGCGGTCGTTCTGTGGATGGGGACATTACCCTGCAAAAAAGCCTGTCGTGAGTTATGAATATTCTTACACTTTTCAGGTTGACTTCGTCAGTGGAGTCCTTTATTCTCCTAAGACATGAATTACCCACATAGGAAAGGGACTGGATTGGCATCCCTTTGAGGGAGAGATACTTTAACACTGAATAATTTTTTCCATGGTGTTGCACGTGGACCGTCAAGTTTGTTTGTTTAAAACTTTGGATTTTGAGATAACTGTACATTCACCCAAAGTTGTAAAAAAATAATGTAGAGAGAGGTAGTGTACCCTTTGCCTGTTTCCCTCAATGGTCACATGTCATAAAAGCACAGTACAATATCACAGGCAGAATATTGGCATTGATAATCAAGACATGGAATGTCCCATCACCACTAGGATAGTTGCTGTTGTCCTTTTATAGCCATATTCATTTAGATCCCTCCCCCAACCTCCCCCCATATGCCCTGACAACTACTAATGTGTCCTCCTCCTCTAAATATTTTTTCTTCTAAAAACATTATGTAAATGGAATTATGCTGTGTGTAACCTCTGGAGACTGTCCTTTTTTTACTTAGGGTAATTCCCTGGAGATTTATCCAAGTTTTTGCATGTGTCAATAGTTTTTTCCTTTTTATTGCTATGTTACATTCCATGGTTTAGATATAGTACAGTTTAACCGTTCACACACTGAAAGACAACTGAATTGATTCCATTCTTTTGGTACAAATAAAGCTGCTGTAAACAGTCTATATAGGTTCTTATGTGAATATGTTTTCATTTCATTTCTTGAAATAATACCCAGGAATGCAATTGCTACATTGTATTGTAGTTGCATGTTTCGTTTAGTTCTACTTAAGAAAGTGCCAAACTATTTTCGAGGGTGGCTGTAGCATTCTCTATTACTACCAACAACATATGAGGGATTTAGTTTCAGTGCATTTTCACAACCATTTGTTGTTGTTGTTGTTTTATTTTAGCCATTCTAGTACATGTGTCATGATAGCTCATTGTGGTTTTAATTTGCATTTCCCTGATGACCAATGAAGTTGAATGTCTTTATACATGCTTATTTTGCATCTTTATATCCATTTTGGTGACATGTACATGCTTTTTGCCCACTTTCTAATGGCTTTTTTTTTTTTGGTTTTGTTCTTTGTGTTTAGTTTTAACTGTTTAGCTTTGAGAATTCTTTATTTATATTCTAATGCTTTGTTGAATATGTGGTTTGTTAATGTTTTCTCTCAATTTGTAGCTTGTTTTTCTTTTAGTAAGGTTTCTCAGCAGAGCCAAAGTTTTTGATTTTGATGAGATCTAATTTATCAGTTTTTCATTTTATGGTTAGTATCAAGTATAAGAACTCTGCCTAGCCTTAGATCCCAAAGGTATTATTCCTTCACATTTTTTTCTAAAAGTTTTATATTCTACATTTATATCTGTGATCTGAGTTAATTATTTGTAAAATATTTGAAGTTTAGTTCAAAGGTATTTTTTTTTTTTTTGCCTATTGGTGTACAATTACCCCAGCACTACTTTCTGAAAAGGAATTTCTCCCATTGAATTGCTTTGCACCTTTGTCAAATATCACATGGGCAGATCTGTGTAGGTTTATATCTGGGTTCTCTGTTTTGTTCCTTTTGGTCTATTTGTCTAACCCTCTTCCAGTATTATCAAGTCTTGATTCATTGTAGCTAGGTAATAAGTCTTAAGATTGGATAGACTGAGTTCTCTCACTTACTCTTTTACAAAATTGTTTTTGCTATTCTATTTCCTTCACCCTTAAGTATAAATATTAAAATATTCTTTATTCTACAGAAAATCTTGGGATTTTGATGGAAATTGTATTAAATTCCTAATGAGCAAATCAATTGGGAAGAATTGATATCTTTACTCTGTTGATTCATCTTATCCATAAATGTGGGAAAGCCCTACATTTGTTATGATATTCTTTGCTTTCTTCATCAGCATTTTGTAGTTTTCAGGATGCAAGTCTTATACAGGTTTTCTTCTATTTACATTGTAATATTTAATTTTATTTTGAGAGATTTTGATTTTGTTGTATTTTTAATTTTGGTGTCCACATGTTCATTTCTGATACAAGTATATTTTTATTTGTTTATCTTGTATCCTATGATCTTATTTGAAATTACTGATTAATTTTAGGATCTTTGCTCTAGATTTTTAGGGACTTTCTATGTAGGAAATCACATCATTTGCAAGTAGGTATAGTTTTATTTATTTATTTTTGATCTTTTAAATTTCCTTTTCTTGCCTTATTTCACAGGCTAAAACTAATACTATGTTGAATAAGAGTGATGAGAATGAATATCCTTGACTTATTCCTCATATTAGGGAGAGAGCTTCTTCTTTTCAAGGAACTAGTCCATTTCATAGAGTTCATAGAATTTATGTGTGTAGAGTTGTTCATCGTATTTCCTTACTATTCTTTTGATATCTGCAGGGTCTATAGTGACAGCCCCTGTCTCCTTGCTGTTATTGGTCATTTTTGTCTCTCTCTCTCTTTCTTTTCTCCTTTATTTTTCTTACTCAGCCTTGCTAGAGGTTTGCCTTAAAAAAAAAAAGTTCTTTGCAATGAACTGGCTATAGGATGATTTTCTCTGTTTTTCTTGTACCTTTAATTTAATTGATTTCTGTTCTTATTTTCTTTACTTGTGCTGGTTTTGGGGTGTTTTCCAGATTCTTGAGTGGAAACTTAAATTATTGATCTGAGATGTTTCCTCTTTTCTAAAGTATGTATATGCTATAAATTTCCTTCTTGGAACTGCTTCAGTAGTGCCCCACAAATTTTGGTATGCTGTATTTTCATTCAATTCAGAATATTTTTTTAATTTTCTTTGGCATGTCCTTTTTGACCCAATGATTATTTAGAAGTGTGTCATTTATAGTTTCCAAGTATTTGGACATTTTCCTGTTAGTTTTCTGTTATTGCTTTCTAGTTTGACTTCATTGTCATCAGAGAACACACTTTGTATGATTCCAATTGCTTTAAATTTGCTAAGGTTTGTTTCATGGCTCAGGATATGGTTTATATTGGAATATGCTCTGTGGGGGCTTAAAAAGGATTTGTAGTCTGCTGTTTTCATATGCAGTGCTCTGTGAGTTTTGGCTGGATCCTGTTGGTTGAGGTCTTGTTGAGTTCTGTGTCCTTGTTCATTTTTTTGTCTAATTGTTTTATCAATATTTGAAAGAGGGATATTAAAATCCATCTGTAATTGTGGATTTGTCTGTTCTATCAGTTTTTACTTCATATATTTTTCAGCTCTTTGTATGGTACTTACACATTTAAGGTGCTATGTTTTCTTAGTCGATTAACCGTTTATGATTATGTAATGTCCCTCTCTGTTTCTGGTAATTTTCTTTGTTCTGGAGTCTCCATTATCTGATATTAACAGAGCCATTTCTACTCCCTTTTAATTAATGTTTATATGATATAAATTTTTAAATTTATGTACTTTCAACTTACCTATATCATATTTGAAGTGGATTTTATGTAGGCCCCATATAGTTGGTCATATTTTTTAATCCACTCCATTAATATCTTTATTTTAATTGGTATGTTTATGCCATTTCCATTTAATGTAAGTTTTGATATTTTGGGGCTTAAGTCTACTATTTTACATATTTACTTATTTGTTTCTTTTCTGTTTTTTTCTCCTTTCTCTGATTTTTTTTTTCACTTTAACTTCCTGTGGGTTACATAGGCATTTTTCAAACTCCATTTTTATTTATTCATAGTTTTTTGATGGATCTTTGTATCACTTTTTCAATGGTTATTCTAGGTATTATATTATATATACATAACTTATCCCAGTCTGCTGGTATTGACCTTTTACCAGCTCACGTGAAGTGTAGAAACCTTGTCTTTTTTCAAGTAACTTTACCACATCTGTGTATATTTGTCTTAAATATTTCCTCTCTGTATATTTAGAACTACACCAGAAATTGTTATAATTCTTCATCCATCAAGCATAATTTAGAAAACTCAAGTGGAGAAGTAAAATATATTATATTTATCCACATTTTTATGCTTTCCACCAGTTTTTCTTCCTTCCTGAAGTTCCAGGATTCCTTCTTTTCATCATTTTATTTCTGTTTAAAGAAATTCCTTTAGTCATTCTTTTAGAATAAGTCTGTTGGTGGGAAATTCTCTTTTAATTTTACCATATCTGAGAATGTCTTGATTTTCTCTTCATTCCTGAAAGATATTTGTGCTAGGTATAAAGTTTTGGGTTGACAGTTCTTTTCTTTCAAACCAGAAAAAGGTTGTGCCATTTTCTTCTGGCCTCCATGGTCTCTGATTAGAAATAAACTGTCATTAGAATTTTCTCTCTATAGGTAAAGTTTCATTTCTCTCCCACTGCTTTTAAAATTTTTCCTTTGAGGTGAGTTTTCTAAAGTTTGACTATGGTATCTCTTCATGTGAATTTCTGTGGGCTTAAAATTCTTTGGGGTACACTCATTTTCTTGAATCTATAGTTCACAGCTTTCATCAAATTTGGGAAATTTTTGAGCATCATTTCTTCAAGTACTGACTCACCACTAGATCTCCTCTGACACCACCCCAGAGAGAGATGAGAGTGGTGCCTCCATACTATCAGGTGGGGTAGGAAGTCCAGGCTTTTCTTGTGTTCTCCACTGATATCACAGAGGGGGAAGGATTCATTACCACCTGTTAGAAATGATTATCTCTCTTTCCTACTTGGCTTTTTCTCACAGAACCCTGGCTTGTGATGGGGTGGGGTGAGCATTGGGGCACACTGCTACATCTAAGAAAGGTGGACAGCTTGGCTGCCCACTTGGCCTTTGCTGACATAAGTGGAAGTGGAGCCACAGTTTTTTTCTGTGGTATTTATCTAGAGTAGAGCAATTGTTGCATATGCTTTCTATCTTTGAGGCTGGCCTTTTCCTTTCCTTTGGTTAGAGAGGGCAGGCTTTGTTGGGACTATTTTGTTTGTATCTCTTGGTATTTGTATGTTTCTGGATTCTTTTGGCTCCATGTCTGGATATACGAGGCAAAAGGAAAACTCAGGGAACTCACCACTGTGTCCTTGAGTCCCACAGTCCGTTGTCCACCAACTTCTCTCTACCTTTCAGTGTCTTCTAATGCTGGTCTATATACAACTTCCAGAAATTTTATCTGTACAAAGAAGGAAGCATAGGGAAAAGGTCATCTACTTCATCTTCCTGTAAGCACAGCCATCATGGATTTTTATCCTTTCTCCCTCATGATACCATTCATCTGCTTATAACCTTGCTTGAAAGGATATGATCTAAGAAGAGAGTAATAACCAGATCCTCCTTTAAGAGTTTGGTTTTATTTTCTGCCTTCATTATATTCAGACAGTGGAAGTTTTTATTTGGATATATGTCCTCCTCTTGTCTATCATTCCTCTTTCTCTGGACCAGATCTCTTGGGTTGAACTTTAGCTGCTAAGCCCAGTTTCATGAACAAATTTCTCTGAGCTTCTTAATGAGACTACTTTAAAGCCCAGCTTTTCCCACACAAAGACTCTATGTGGGGTTGCTGATAAAGCATGTAATGTTGTTCCTGTTCATAGTTCGTGTTCAGTAACTATGTTTTTTTCGCCATTATTGTGGTTACTAAAGTCCCTCTGGGTAAGTGTCCCTAGAGAATAAGAATTCCTAAAGTTTGAAGGCTTTGAGATTTACATGTCCCTAATCTTTTATAGGAAAATTTGCTTTAACATGTAACACACACAAAATACTTACAAATAATCTAGCCCATATTAAGCATTCAGTTGCTTTTTCTTCACTTTCTACTTTTAGATAGTAGCCATTTGTTGAATTGAAGTCTTTAATATAGAGGCTGTTCCCTCTGATGCTTAAGAACACAAGCTCTTATGTCAAGAAGATCAAGTATCAATCTCAGCTCTGATACGCAGTAATTGTGATACTTGGGCAGGCTATTTAACTTCACTGTGCCTTGCTTTTCTCACCTATGAAGTGAGAACAATAATAGTAACTACTGAGAATTAAATGAACTAATACTTATAAAGAGCTCAGAAGAGTACCTTACATACACACGTGCTCAATTAATTTTGTATTTTATTTCTGCTTTTTACTATTCTATAACATTGTATTTAAGAAAATTCCTTACAGTCAAGGACTATGTCTTATTTAAGTTTGTATCCTCAGAACCTAGCACAATGAATGGTACCTAACAGACATTAAATGTTTCAATGAACTCATGTAGGAATGAATAACTGAATCAATTTACCTAGAGAGGAAAATCTTAAAGGTAGCATAAAGTAAGTAGTCATTTCTGACTAATGGAGTTTCCCAGGTATATTAGAAATAACTTTGGAAAGAAGTTCATTTTATGTGTTTTTTATTTAGCCTTAGCCCTCACCACCATTGGGCCACCTACGGAGTTGATTACTTCTGAAGTCACTGCCAGAAGCTTTATGGTTAACTGGACTCATGCCCCAGGAAAAGTGGAAAAATACAGAGTTGTGTATTATCCTGCCAGGGGTGGAAAACCAGAGGAGGTAATATGGAGACGATATATTCAAACCATTATTTTCACTCTTTCAAGTCTTCCACAGCAGTGAGAACAAGACAGAAATGCATATATAATGAGATAATTCTGTCACAAACATTTAAAATTATTTGACTTAATACATTTCCACATGTCCATGTTGTTCTCCCATCTCTCTGGATTATGGTGTTTACATCTTCTCCTCCAACCTCCATCAAATAACCTCCAGAACTGGCCATGTGTCCATTTCTAACACAACTTTTAACTTTTTTTCATTTTGAAATTAATTAGTTCCAAAGCAAAAGGAATCAGTAGTCAATTAGCTGGCTCTAGCCCCATTTTGCTATTCAAGTGTCCTTTCTACTTTGTGAGTGGTCTGAATTTTCTGCCTTAATGAAGACTGTGTTCCAAATTATGTGGTCATGGAGTACTCCAGAGTTTGGGATTTTCTGGACATTTGTGGAGATTACTGCAATGGACAAGCCATAGTAAAGCATCTGTGGCTGGCCTTTTGCAAGTGTTGGCCATGAGAGGAGAGAACACCTATTGCCAAATGATGGGATCCTTCCCATTTCGTACCTTTAATACAGCAACCCACAGGGAAGACTTTAAAATGTGATGAAATCTCTCTTTATTTTGAAGTGCTCAACTTTTGTTGTTCTGACCTCTGACTGATCACAACATGTTTCATAATTTTTGTCTGTATAATGACAGGATTTGTGGAATTTTTTTAAAGTGTTAGAGAAGTAGATCATAGAGGTTCAAATCATCTGGCCTTAAAAAAAAAATCAGAGTTATTCCAACAGTTCTATCTCTTTCATGACTAATGAAACTTTTAAATGCTTCCCAAATCTCCATGGAAAAATATTACATGTCAACAGTTATTCAGTGGATGTCATTAAGGTAGCTATAACCTGGGAATGACACACTTACCATTAGATATGAATTAATAAGGGACTTATGGATATAGTCCATAAAAGCATGTAGAAATTCAAGGAGAATTGACTGACACAGTGGAAAAGTGGATGTGGCACAAATAAGAAAATACCTAGTGAAATTTTCTTGCTAGGGTTATTTTTGCTTTTTGATTTCAACTTTACATGTGAGATATTCCATACTCTCATTCCTTAAATTGTTCTTTAAAAAAAGGTGGTGGTGAATGGACGTGTATCTTCTACAGTGTTGAAAAACTTGATGTCTTTGACTGAATATCAGATAACAGTCTTTGCAATATATGCTCACACTGCCAGTGAAGGCCTACGGGGAACTGAAACAACACGTATGTATTGAGTCATACCCCACTTCTCACTTTGCACAGCACTGCTTGGGTAGCCTTTCCGAAAATGGAATTCTGCTCAGGTTCTATTGATGGGACTCCTGAATCAAATTCATAGGAGATAGTTGCCAGGCTTCGTGCAGTACTGATCCATGCTATATTTGCAGTTTGCAGGTACTACATATTGGGAGAAATATTATAAAACTCTGGTATGTTTTAAAGAAAGGAACCTTGGTGGTGAAGGGCACAAAATGCATTTGTTCATTTAATAAACAAATATTTAGTGAATGCCTATTATGAATGAAGCACTGGGCTTGAATTTGTTGGTAGATGTAGAGAAGGAACTCCATAGAATCAAGTTCTCCTGCCCAGTAGAATACCAAGGAAATAATATGACATCTATTTTCATCATTCATATCATTGTAATTAAAACAAGCTTCTAAATACTAGTAATTTCTTACCAGAGCATGATCATAGCATACACACACACACACACACACACACACACACACACACACACACACACATTCCCAGACACTCAGAGAATCCCTGGAAAGATAATCCTAAAAAGCATGATCACCCACTCATTTTGTTATTTCAAACATTAATTGAGTTCCTATTACACGCTAGGCACTATGGAGAGTTGGTCTAAAACCTCTGCCCCTGACAGAATAATAGCAATGCAAACAACACCAATAACAGTGTGCCAGGCACTATAGTAACTTGGATTTATCTCTGACAACAATTTGCAAGGTAAGTTCTAACACTAATGCTTTGCAGAAATATTTTAGCAACAATCGTCACCCTTAAGGAAATTTTAGTCTAGAAAAGAAGGTAATGCAAACACATAGTGCAGCGGCATGTTACAGGTGTGCCAGTATGTGTGACAGGGAGAGTATAAGCAAAGCCGTGAACTTGACATTGTCGTTGGAAAAGCAGACAAGGCCAGATTACAGAGGGCCTAGAATTATATTTGAAAACAACATTTCATAGTTTTCACTGGCATTATTTAAGCCAGCAACTTGCAATTTATTCTTCATCTATTTCCTTCTACATCTCAAATACGGCCAGTCTTAATTCTTGATTATTCCATTTTCTCCAACTCTATTGCTACTAACTTAGTCATGTCCCATCACTTGTCTGATTGAATGTTTCAATGGGTATTCATTCATTCATGTATTTGTTCATCCAGCCATCCATGCTGTCATTTATTAAGTGACCCAATGACTATTTTAGTGGCTGCTGCATTCTGATGGGCATTAAACAATGGTCAGAATAGTTTCCCTGCTCTTGACTGGCTTCCAGAGAAATGTGCCCATTGTTGTAGTGGGATATAAGAAACTTAAAAATGTCATTCCTGTTTTAAACATTCACTATGTTTACCCTTCCAGAAGCGGCTTCCATGGCTATGTGAACAGATTTAAGGATGACTATTATCTAAAAAGTAAACTCTATGTACTTAAGAGACACTAACACATAGATACTTTGAAATAAGCAAGCATACTGATAGATGGCTGAACAGTAAAATAGTAATCTCTTGCAGTTGCTTTACCCATGGCTTCTGACCTTGAACTGTACGATGTGACTGAGAACAGTCTAAGGGCAAAATGGAACGCAGTGGCTGGAGCATCAGGATACCTGATCCTCTATGCCCCTCTCACAGAAGGTCTGGCTGGGGATGAAAAAGAGGTAACTACCTACTTCTCCTAGAGGCCTAGAATCTTTGACTTGCTTAAAATAGATTTTTCTGCCATAAAAATTTAATGGATAAAATCTTAAAAATGCACATTAGCAAAAGGAAAAAACATCACATAATCTCACCACCTAAAGATAGCCATTGTTAACATTTAGTTAGCAGTCTTTTCAATGCATTTTTAACACAACAAATGGGAATGGTTTTGTACTCTTCTGTGTTCGTTTTGTTTATTATATTCATTTGAAACAGCTTTATAGTTATCCCATTGTTGGTTTATACCAGGTCATGTTTAATTAACTTCATGTTATTGGGCATTTAAATTTACTTGCTGTATAAATATGCTTTTGTGACCATTCTTAACATACAACTTTGCATGGTTGTCTGACGATTTCCTTAGGGTGAATTCCAAAAAATGTAGTTTCTTTTTTTGAAGGGTATGCAAATTATTAAGGCTTATTCTAGGTATTACCAAATGACTTTAGAGAAATCTGATGTAACTTAATTACTGTATGTAGTTCACAAATGACTGACTTGCCCTATGTGCACTGACTTAGGCATGTTTTTTCTTACTGATTTGAGAAGTAGACATATGTATCCCATTGATGTGGACTTTTTTGTATTTATCCTGTTTTAAATGGTGCAATTTTTACTTTCCAATGATATATTTTAGTCCTCATTTTTAAATTACAGGCAATGACTGTAATATAAATACCCAGGGAATAAAGAGGAAATGCTTATGACACTTGGTAAGGCAGCGGAGTGGATAGGAGAAAGTTCAGAACTTGATTCTTTAACAATTGTCTAAAACCTGCCTGTGGTGACAGAAATCTTTAGGGCCAAAAAGATGGTGAATCTCAGTGTCAAGACCAGGGCATCGGTAACATGGGGTCTTTTCATTTCAAGGTTTAGACAGCTTTTTCCCATTTGCATTTAATGTTGATCTGAACTATTTTAGCAGAAGGGAGACTTAAAAATGATGCTAGAAAGATACTCAGCTTCACTAGGAAAATAAAAAATAAAAAAGAAAGGAATACCACTTCACATACAATAGATTAGCAAACAGTTTTTACAGTGTAATAATAGGACATATTAATGAACCTGTGGGGAAATAGAACCACTCACATGTAAATGGGTACAGCTGCCTTAGAGAATAATTTGACATATTTCATCACATTGTAGATATATACACTTTTTTGGAAATATAGGGAAACATCCTGCAAGAATTTTCCAATGCAAGCACTTGATTAGAATGAAACATTGCAGAGTGACATATTTATACAAAAAAATACCATAAAGGAATTAAATAATGTCAGCTGTGTCCCTGTGTATCAACATGGATGAATTTTGAAACATAGTGTTTACAGAGAAAAGAATTGTAAAAACATTATGTCCCCATTTATGTCCATTGTTAAACATACAGCACTGTATATCATTTACAGATGTGTATATTATATGTGTCTGTAGAAATAAAAACATGGATCGTAATATTCTCATCAACATTAGGGTAAAGGTGGTAAACAGAAAGAATGAGAAAGAACTTCTGTTTTATCTGAATATTTTAGGTATTTTATAAAATAAGGTCTGAAGCCAATATGATAAAATGGTGATGTTTGTCAAAATTTGAGTAGTGGGTACATCTGGGAGTATTCTATTATTTTCTCTACATTAATATTATATATGTTGAGCTATTTCAAAATTAAAAATTGTAATTTGACAATAATACTGGCAGTTGTGTGACTTAAAACTGTTTATAGAGATACTTTTTTTCCTTCCAAAGCAAAAATCAAACCATGTTGTCATGCAATTGTCATACAACTGAGAATGTTGGCTAGTCTGACTGACTCCAAAGGTCAGGAAAAAAATCAGACCAGAATCAAAAAGCAAATTGTCACATGAGGTGTCAAGGTGGGTTGATCTCTTCTGAATCATGGAAGGGACTTGCATTCCAGGTGAGCCAGGCCCCTTGGTTGAATGGGGCAACGAAACTGGTCTGGCTCAGTTTGGCTTGAAGTGGGCATTCAGCCAGAGGGCTGGTTAGAATTAGCCAAGCGGTGAAAGATGCCCACTTGGCCCTGCCCCCAGCAAGCTGGCCTGGAGCTTGCACTCTTTCTAGAGAGCATTTCTGACTCAATTCCATCCACACTCTTCTGGGGACCAAATATTTGACACTGTTATTCTGGCTGCAGTTGCCACTTGTCCAGATGTGAAGAGTTATACTCAAGCAGCACACATGGGTACGTTCCATTTTATATGGTTCCCTAACGTCTGTTCATAATATAAAACAATGAAAAAATTATGGTTGAAGCCTGTTTGGCGGAGGGGTTGTGAAGGAGACAAAATCTTACTCCATGAACTTTCACCTTTATTCAGTTCCACTGTGATCGGCATGAATAATACACACTGGCCAATGATCTGATAATGTATGTTCTTTTCAGATGAAAATTGGAGAGACCCACACAGATATTGAACTGCGTGGTCTGTTGCCCAATACGGAATACACAGTTACAGTTTATGCTATGTTTGGAGAAGAGGCCAGTGATCCTGTTACAGGACAAGAAACAACATGTGAGACATTCACTCATTCAGATGAAATATTGTAATAAAGGCTCAAATGAATGTTGGGATTCTGAATTGTTAAAACTGGTTTAAGTTGACACCTCTTAAGAGCTTAAGGAACTAAAGAAAATGTCCATTTTATTTAGGAGAAGAAAATGTATTTATTCTGGTCTTGTTACTATTATTTTTTAGAGAAAATGTTTTATGTGTCATTTATTTAGTCATTTATATTTCTCATGGTATTTTTTAAATGTAGAATTTGCATATCTAATCAAATGTATTGATTTCTTCCCCTAGTACCTCTGGATTATTTTTTAAATTTTGTATCAGGGTACATACAATCAAAATGCACAAATCTTAGTGTACAGCTTGATGAATTTTGAGTGTATGGAACTCATGTAAACCGTTGCTGAGATCAACAGTCTTGTTATTATGAGTCATCCATGGCTACTAGAATTGAACTTCAGCATCCTTTAGATGGTGCCACCAGTGTCTTTGACTCAATCCAAATGCTAGATCAGAATATAGGTGCAAGAACATGGGCTTTGGGATCAGATCACCCAAGATGTTACCTCAGTCGAAGTCAGATTTTAGCTGAGTGACAATGGGCAAGTTACATAACATTTTTTAGTTTGTGGAAGGAACAATAATCTCACAACGTGTGGTTGGTATAGGATCACCTGTCATTCACTCAGAGTGCTCATTTCTTTACATTTAAAATATATGTGCAAGACCCTTTCCTATCATTTGTAGTTGGCTTAAAATAAAAAAGGTCCTAGAAAGTGATGTCCTGGGTACCTATTCCTGAGACCAGAATTTTTATGCACTAAGGAAACTAGACATGGTTCCATCATCTTGCCAAATTTAACTGAACTCCAGAAAAATTTAGAACAATGAGTACACAACACTAAATTATATTGCTTTTCTCTTTCCTACACTTTATCTCCAGCCCCTTAAGTATTAAAAGAGTCACGAAGTCTTTTAGGCTCTTTATTGCCAAATAATCAATATATATTGGATTAATGAAAAGAATTGGCCTTGGGGTGAAAGAGCATCTTATGTTGTGGTTATGGCTGAGTTGTTACTAACTTATCTTCTAAGATACTATTTATCTATCTTTTCAATCTCTATCAGCACCATATCATAAGTTTTTAAATCAATTGACCAATTGACTGATTAAACTCTAACTGCTTTTCTGCTCCTACTGTGGCCGTGGCCAAGTTATCTCAATGTCAATTTGATGGGGAGAATTGTAACTCTGTCCTTACAATCTAGTGTAAGGATTTAATGAGAGAACATGTGTTACATCTCAGACTCATAGGAAACAATAGTACATCTTTACAATAGTTTTTACAGTCACCTGTAAAATCTCATGAAATGCTTAAGGATTATTTACAAATTCTGGTCTGTTGAATCAGAAGGGGGGTCTTCGAGAAAGTGCCAAAAACTATGGAATTAAGAGGAATTGCAGAAATACCAACATCTCTTTAAATACTTATAAAGCTACAGCACAATGTTTATTTCATCTCACAAAGCCACTGGAATTTACCCAGAGGACTCCTGCTCATTGATTTAACAAATGTTTATTGAGAACTTGCTATATTGGGGATAAAACCAGGGACAAAATTAACCCCTAATCCTGTGAGATTATAGTATATGGGGTAAGAAAGTAGGCCAATAAATCTGCAGTAAAAATAAATAAATCGGACAAAGCTAGGTGGAATTGGATGGAAGCATTATTTTACAGAAGGTGATCATGGAGAGCCTTACTATGAAGGTCGCATATGTTCAGAAACCTGTATCTTGGATGACTCCAAGGTTGTTGGCCTGGGCAATGGGCAGAGTGGGCTTTCCATTTGCTTGGAGGGAGAGGCTGAGAGACAAGACTGGGAGAGGTGGCAGCAGTTGGTAGTTCAGGTTTGGACATGTAAAGTTGGAAATGCCTATTAGATACCCAAGTGGAGGAGGCAGATGGACATTACCCTCATGTTGTGGAGCGGAGAAATAGAGTGACTTTGCTGGTTCCATGTGATAGTTCAATGGAATAGCTAAGATTTCATTTCAGGTGTCTTGGTTTTTTGATCCATTGGGTTTCTTATTTACATTAGTTTTTAATAATAGCATTGACTAGAGAAGAAAGGCACAAAAAATTCACCTAAATCTTATTTATTTTTAAGCATGTGTAGGTTATTTCTACTATTCATGCTCTATAAGAAAACTTGTATGTTATTTTTCTTCTTCATTTGTTAATGTTCTTTGTTATAAGTCATCTGGGGGAAATTTCTCGAATGTAAATAGCTCAGGAATCAAAGATGCTGGTTTGTTCTTTTTGTTTGCTTTTCTTACATGTATGTTGTTTAAATTTTTAATTATTTTCTATTCCATTTACTGCAAAGTACCCTTAAGTCCACCCAGAAACCTGAGAATCTCTAATGTTGGCTCTAACAGTGCTCGGTTAGCCTGGGACCCAACTTCAAGAAAGATCAGTGGTTATCGAATTGTATATAACAACGCAGATGGGACTGAAATCAATGAGGTAAGCTGTGAAACATAATGTTGATTTTGTATTAGTTGTGTATGTTGATTGTGTATTAGTTTTGTATAGCTGCATAACCAATCATCCAAAACACAGTGCCTTAAAACAATACTAATTATTTATTTTCTTACACAGCTTTTGTGGATCAGGCATTGGGCCTTGGATGTGTAGTTCTGGTTTAGGGTCATATGTGAGATTGTAGCCACATAGTGGCTGGTTTTGGAGCCATCACAACAGTTTCTTTATATAGGGGTCGGGTGCCTAGTCTGGGAAGGCAGGATTGGTTGAGAGCTGGAGTGGCTCTAACTCTAAGCAGACTCTTCACATGAGCCCTCCAGCATAGCAGCTTAAGAGGAGGTAGGCTTTTTTCATGTTGGTTCAGGAGTCCCCAGACGTGTGTCCAAAGAAATAGAGAGCTAAGTGGCAGCTGTGTCACCCTTAGGAAGTCATAGAGCATCACCTCTACCACACTCCATTGGTAGGAGATACCACAAGTCCCTGCATCAGTTCAAGATAGGGAGGAATGGCAGTCCCACTGCTGGTGGGAAGTATATGGGATGGGGGATTTATGTTGATGTAGCCATCTTCGGAAAATATAATCTGCCCCATGGGGAGGGATGGGGAAGTATGTATCATAATAGAAGCAGTAAACTAGAAATAGTGTCAGTATTATCCAGTTTACCCCTCTGCTTCTGAGTAAACCGGCATCTGAAAAATCTTAGATGAGCTTAAATTAAAAACTGAATTAATTCAAGTCTTTTGTAGGAAAATACTTTCCAATGATGGAACTTATGGAAACCCAGGAAGACCAGTACCTTGCACCCAGGGATTAATGCTCTTCAGAAATTCTTTCCTTGGGAATATTTTTTAGCAGGATAAATAGCAAAGTTATTTTTATTTATTTTTCCTTATCTTGGTCCAATGAGCTAAGAAAAAGAGGGAAATATGTTAGATTACATCACTTCTAGTTTCTCACCAAATAAAGAAAGTATTTTCATAAAATGAGGCAGACATTTTCCTTCAGTTAAATTTAAGCAGTATTTTGCAGAATGTACCCTTGCACAGGACATTGGGTAATGAATGAACAATAACTGCACATATACTAACAATACAGAAATAATGTTCAATATCTTCCATTAAATCTTCATGAATCCTGAGGGCAAATAATTCTGATGAAGCTGGAGTCATTTGGACTAATTTTTGCTTTGCTTTTGGAGACAGGAGTCTAGACTAGTAAAAAGATTGAAACTAAAAACTGAGCAATCAGTGTCTTTTTTTTCCAGTGACAAATAAACTACTTTATTTTAAAGGACCTTGAGGGTATTATACTAAGTGAAATAAGCCAGGCAGAGAAAGACAAACACCATATGCTTTCACTTATTTATGGAATCTAAAATCAAAACAAAACAAAGTGAAAAAAACAGCAGTAGATTCATAGACACCGAGAAGTGACTAGTGGTTACCATGAGGTAAGGGTTGTGGGGGTGAAGTAGGTGAAGGGGATAAAGAGGGACAAAGTCTCAATCATAATATAAATTTGTCATGGGGCTGAAAGTACAGCATAGAGAATATAATCAGTAGTTCTGTAACATAGTCCTATGTTGACAGATAGTAACCACACTAGGTGGGGGTGAGGATTTAAGAATGTGTATTAACTGTTGAATCACTGTGTTGTAGACTTGAAACTAATATGATACTGTATTTCAACTATACTTCAATAAAAAAATAAAGAGTCACAAATTCAGCTGTGCAGGAAAATTAGACAGATAATGTAAGGAGTGAAGCTTGCTATTAAATGTGCAGAAATAGTCACACCTGCAAAGAAACACACTCACCTGTTTTTTCTTGAAACAGGAGGCTAACTTAGAATATATTTTGTATATTTCATATTCCCATTTTTGGGACATCGATGTAGAAAAAAATTCTCTACTGAAAGAGAGACAACAATTCTAGACCAACGATTATCGACAGTGGACAATGTGCTACAGTGACAGGGATTCTAGGGCATGGTGGGGACTAAGGTGCTGGGGAGTACAGACATGTTCAACTGAAATGCAGCCAGGATCCACTTCTGCAGATGGCTGCTGCAAAGAAATCTAGGTGGGGGCTGCCACATCTTGTGACCCTGGATCCTGTGACCAGGAATTTCTATTTTTATGTGAAACTTACCAATTTAAAACTGTTGACTATTGAATGACCGAAGTAACACAACTGTATAGAGCAATAAATATCTGTTCACTGCCGAGCATCCAACTTTGGTAATAATTTTTCATAAAACAAAAATAAATAGTCATATATATATGAGTTTTATTTATAAATACAACTGTACAATAAAATTTTTATTGAGTTACAGTTGACTTATGATATATTAATTTCAGGTATATAATGTAGTGATTTGATATTTGTATGCATTGTGAGATCATTGCCACAAAAGGTCTCATGAACTCCATTTTATAAGAAATGGTATCTAATGGTATCTTATGTTACTTGCCTTTATAAAGAATGAGTAAATTCTTTGATATATTCATTGATATACATGTGCTTTTTTGTAATGTTATTTAATTTGGGGATGCCTTTGGCATTTGCTATTTCTAATATGTATGGTGCTAGAAAATTAGAAAACAGTGATCAGTAAAAACTGAATTTGAAGCATGAGTAAATGGACTATGAATGAAAATCTGAGAAATTTTATTTGAGTAAAATGCATAAACAATGTGTATATTTTGTAACACTTCCATTTTGACTGGTTTTGTGTGTGTGTGTGAGTGTGTGCATGCTTATTTCTTAATTCTTACCTATGCAACTGAGACTAGAAGTTGCTGGGTAAGTAACAGTTTTCACTTATTACTTAGTTCAGTGAAATTACCTAGCCTAAAATTGGAATATATGATTTTAAGGGTGAATATTCCTACCATATTTTGCTTTAACTTCTGTTAATTAAAGCTTTTATTTATAGATAATACTACAGTTGGGTTTTTAGGAAATTCCCAACACCTTCTGGAATGAACTTAAAAACGTCCTAACAGAAATCTGCTTTATAACATATATTGATGTAAAAGTGCTGACTCACTTTTATATTTCCTTGCTGTACTTCCTCTTCCTCCCATCTTCCTTCCTTCATTCACTTCCTCTTTCTCCCTCTGTGTGTCTTCTGCATTACTCCTCTCCCCAACTTTTTGGAGACCATCGAAGAAAAATAAAACAGCACTTAAATAAATGCGGACCCTGCTGCTGGCGATGGCAGGTAACACATGTTGAGTGCTTACCTTGAACCAACCACTGCTCTGAGAGCTTTGCAGAGAGCACCGCATGTGATCCTCATAGGAGAAATGCAGCCACAACTTCACTTGTCAAACTAAGGAAAGAAGCCATTTCAGATAGCATGTACTGTGAAATGTATAAACATGTTGGAGAACTAAAGTGCTGCTATTTGGTATTATAAATGAAAGGCCACCGTTTTTAACTCTGAGAGGCAAGTCCAGTTCCCACGAGCAGTGACTCAACAAAAGAGCCCAGAGGGAAGCCTATGTCCCTTGTTTCTCATCAAGGACTTTGTCTTCAGCGCCCCCAGAGTTAGGCTGAAGTTAGCTTTTAGCTAGACTATGTGAAAAATTATTCTAAGAGACTGTTGCATGTAGTGAGTTCATGGCCATATGTTATCATTTTCCCAAATTCTTCTCTGACGTCTCAAAGGTACCACCAGCAAAATCAGTTCCAGAGCTTAGTTTAAAGCATAAAATGATAACTAATAAAATAAATGATACCTAAAAGTTTTCATTTGATGGAATAAAAGGATCAATAATTAATGCATGAAATATGTTCTGTTCAGTATCAAATAAAATGCTTTAATAAACTAAATCCAACAGATTTTATAACAGATACATACATGTGTTATCTGTTGAAAAGATATATAGACACATGTATACTTTATATATGCATATGTATTAAGGGGGAAAAACTGGGTGTGTATATACACAGTTTTCCCTTTTTGACTCTTGATGTACCTAAGAAAATTTTATTTTAGCTGCTTTTGGCCATGTTTGATATCTTCACAAAATTCCTATTTGAAACAGATTTTAGACTTAGATGTCAAGACCTATACATTCTGGTTAATAGCTTTATGGTTCCAGGAAAGTTGGTTAAGGTCTTTGGGTCTCAGGTTATGTGTTTATAAAATAGTTATTATAAATACCTACAGATGGGTTTGGGGAGGAGAAAGCTAAGTAAGAAAATGAATATGAAGTCCCTGACGTATTATATTAAGTGCTCAGTAATTTTAGCTATTACAATTCAAAATACAATTCAAAACAACTGGCAGCCATATGTAAATACAGTTTAGAAGAACATGTTTTGAACTCATATTTTAAATATGGATTTGTCTTTTCTGTGAATTTAAATAATGAAGGCATACTGTAAATAGTGTTTAACGAGTATAGGATTTAAGGTCTGAAAGACTTGTTTTAAGTCCTAGGGACTAGCTAATTTTCCCTTGGGTAGCTTCCTTACTTGTCAGAGTCTCAGTTTTCTCATCTTCAAATTAGGGGTAATAATTAGCTACCCGGCAAGGTTGTGGTCAGGATTAAGTAAACTAATGCATATAAAGCACGCAGAAAATACCCAGAGCAGAGTAAACATTAAATGCTAAGGATGACCTGTAATATCACCAGGCCCAGATTTGAAAGAAGATAATACATATTTTCAGTTAACTATTGCTATGTAACCAGTACCCTTAAAATAACCCAGGATGATTCAGCTAGTGAATGGTCCAGGCCGTGTCAGCCGGGGTGACTCTTGCATTCATCTGGGAGCTTGTCTGTGCAAAAACTTCCAGAATGACCTCATCCCATGTCTAGTACCTCATCAGGAGTAGCTGCAGAGGCTGTGGTTGGCTGGCCCTCTCTAGCACAGTGGTTCAGGGTTCCAGAAGTGTGAAAATGGAAGCTTTTCCCTGAAGGGTTGGCACTCTATTTTTGACCTTCAGTTGATTCTTTAGAGATGTATATGGTTTCTGGGTTGGATCTTAATTCAGATGAGACCTTTATTAACTATTTAAAAGATGATCTTTGGTGCCACATCTTAATTTTCACTTATATATTCTCTTCTTGCAAAAAGAATGTGTATATTTAATTCAACATACAGTGGTGAAGAAGCTAAGCAAGGTCCTGCCCTCAAAGAGCTTGTACTCTATGCAAGAGATAAGAAGCAAGTGCATACCAAATAAAATGGTTTCAGTCTATGACTGGTGGTAGGGAAAAACAAACAGGGACAGTGTTGAGAGGTAACCCTACTGAGATAGGTGGAAAGAGAAAGAGGAGATAAAACTTAAGCACAGTCCTGATGAATGATGAAGGTCTAGTTTTGAAAAGAGCTAGGGAAATGGGGTCCCAGACAGAATGAATTGCATGTATAAAGGCCCTGAGGTGGGAAAGACATGGACCTGATAGAAGGTCAGTGTGGCTGAAGCCCAGAGGCTTGGTCACCAATATGTTCTACATATGGTCTACAATCAACAATGTTCCATGTGCTAAAAGCACTTCAGTGGCCCAAGATCTAACTTCTCAATGATAAAGCTATGTCTATCCTTTCTCTTAGTCTGAAGACGACTTTGCTTAGGGCTTTGTCTTCTAGATTGTGCACTCATCATCTCTTACTTTATATCTTCTTTCCTCAAAGTCCTTTCTTTGTTTCGTTTTCTAATCCTTCCCTTACTTTATGCCCTTGATCCTTATCCCTTATGTGCCCTAAAGAGGTTGGTACATATTTTTCCCAAATATGTCTCTCTGTAGAAGATAAAGGAATATTTCAGTTATTTGCTATTATCTTTAGTGTGAATAGTCTCCAATTCTTCCCTGCATGGTTTCTTACCTATGCAACCCTTATAGGAGTGATTGTGTTTTACTTAGCCACAGAATCAGCAGAGCCCAGGTAGTGAAGCTGAAAACTGGCCACTCCTGGCAGATCAGGTTGGAAACATATTTATTTATATTAGCATTGTAAATTGTGATCTTTTTTTTTACTTTCTAAATCTTGAATGAATGGAGATAATACTGGTTGTAAAGTTGCCCTGAAAATTAACTGATAGGTAATCTATTTAAGGTTGTAGGATTAGAAATGTATATATATATATAAACAACTGGTTTTATAATTCAATAATTTTTTTGCACTATTTATAGCTCTGCTGTCATCCAAGTAAATTATAGACAATAATACAATGATTTCTGTTTCCTGTATTTAGGGAGTATCTGATATAGCTATTATGACTTCTCTGTTTTGCAGGTTGAAGTCGATCCTGTTACCACATTCCCTCTGAAGGGCTTGACATCCCTCACGGAGTATACTGTTGCCATTTTCTCCATTTATGATGAAGGGCAGTCAGAGCCTCTGACTGGAATTTTTACCACAGGTAAGCCTTATTATAGTTTGAAAAGTTTCCAAGAGTAATTCCATAGAAACCAGAAGCTGAAGCAGCTTCTTCAATTGCACTTTTGTTTTTGTTTATTTGGTATATTATTATCAAATGAAAGGTAAGGTGACTAGAATGCATACTGGATAATTATTTTCTATCAAGGCAAGGGAAAGTAAGAAAAAACCATCTGCATTCAAAAAGTCTCAGTTAAATAAAAGTATACATTGTTCTCTTCCTAATTTCATACTTCCTTCTGTTCTATTGATACAAAATTTTCAGAACTTTCTTCCATTCATATGTGTGTATATTAAATTTAGCTTCCCTAACTGCTGCTGCCCAACAATTTTGACCTATAAAAATGGCTGTTTCATATTATTTAACCAGTACATCAATCTATAGATTCAATAATGAATTTTCATGTAGCCTGAAATATTAATACAATATGGGACATTTTGAATTCTAAAATAAACAATAAATCATGAATGTAGTATTTTCCTTTTTTTTTATAACCCTAGAGTCACTCAATAACTACCGCAGTTTTTGCCTCTTGGTGGCAACAATTCTGTTGTTACCTTTCTGAACCTACCATTGATTGATTGCATTTGGAAATGAACTAAGTGCTATACTGAGGCCATGAGAAGGTAATTTGGAGAGAGATGAGAAACAAACTGGACTGAGAAATAATGTTCACAGAAAGAAGTTCAGTAATTTCACAAACTCTCCCAAGGTCTTCCCCCAAAGTCCCAGGTTGGGATTCTCCTGGTGTCCTGGGAAACAGTTTTAAAATCTCTGATTTCAAATAGTAAAAATCAATAACTGACAATTCACTTTGGGTATAGTTGGATGTTATGCTCTCTGTTGTACGTGCCAGAAGTGTGTGAGCAGTGAAATAGTAGAAGGCCTGATTAATTACATTTCACTTCTGATAATAGCCATATGTACAAGATTAAAAGGATGAAGTTCTTCTCTAAGAGTTAACTTATTACTAGGGAGTACTTTAGGCATGAAATCAAATAAAGCTAAAAGAGACATTTCTGAGGCCTCTAGGGCACCATTTTGTTAATTTCCTCAACATACTTGCAAAATAATGAATATGACACTCATTTTTCATACTTTATGAAAAGAGCCAAATAGAGAATCTAAGAGTTCTGGAAATTACTGGAAACTTGGAAAATCTGCTGCATCCATGGTGTTCCTAATATATACTGTGGGTAAATGCTGGAAGCAGAAATGTAAAACCACTCTGGACTGATGGATGCTGCCTTCTCTGATTCCATGTGCTTTCCTGAAGCAAGAGATTCCTCAGAGAACCTTCCTGTGGCCCCCTGGGAGCTGCCTGAGTTTGCCTTTTCTTGCCTTCTCAATTCCGTAACAAAATCTCCTTCCTTGGCTTACAGAGGAAGTTCCAGCCCAACAATACTTGGAAATTGATGAGGTGACGACAGATAGTTTTAGAGTGACCTGGCACCCCCTTTCAGCTGACGAAGGGCAGCACAAGTTGATGTGGATTCCAGTCTATGGTGGGAAGACCGAAGAAGTGAGTCATCTGAAACATACTGAAAATTACTCTGGAGCATTTTATCAGGAAGGGAGTACCCGCTGTTGTATTTGACTTGGTCTTCTCTTTAACATAGGTTGAGAATCCCAGTAGGAATTAATATTTTGCGTGGCATAGAGTTTTGTAGATGTCAAACCATATGACTTTCCTAAGATTAAAATAGATTTTTGCTAGGGTTTAGTTATATATTTTATCTATTTTCAGATTCTTTGACTTTCATAAATGACTTTTAATAAAACTTCGAAATGCCACTTTTGTAATGTTAATAGTCTATTCACTGAGGGAATTGAATACATCTCTGATTTGACATTAAAATTGAATTCAATAGCCTTGGAGTTCATGCTTAGTTGTTCCTTGGTTACGCACAGGGATAACATTTTTCTGTTGTATTATTTTTTCTTAATTTTCTCCTCTGTTATTCAAGTTAAATCCAGTAACTAAGCACCAAAAACTTTTCAGGTTGTCCTAAGAGAAGACCAAGACTCATATGTTATTGAAGACCTGGAGCCCGGCACTGAGTATGAAGTTTCACTGTTGGCTGTGCTGGACGATGGAAGCGAGAGTGAGGTGGTGACTGCTGTTGGGACCACCCGTAAGTCTTGGCCTGGCCAAGATGGACTTTACCAGCTCCCACTGTCCCTTCTGACACCCTCTTCCCTGCTCCACGTTCCCTGCCCATCTGGGCTACAGAGACTTCAATTTCTCTTTGTCCCCCAGAGTTCTACATATATCTTCTCCTTTAATGAAACCAGTATGTGGAGCATCTTACAATCCTAGGCTATTATCACTATAAGGATGAGAATCATATCTGCCTGTCTCAGTCACCATTATATCCTCAGCACTTAGTACAGTATTTGGCATAGTTTAACTGTGCAATAAATACTTGTTGAATGGATGGATCTATAAATGGGTGGATGGATGGATGGATGGATTTGTAGATGAATGGATGGATGGCTGAGATAATTCATAAGTGAATAAATAAGCAAACCTAGGGCAAAAGTGTCCAAGAGTTTCTGGAATTTTCCAAGTTGATCTTGGTTCCAAGAATCTTGTACAAAATTCACTCACTGATTCATTCATCCCTTCATTCTTTAAATATGAAGTATTAACCACATATTAAGTTTCTTTGATTGGGTTCCCTGGAATCAGGTTCTGAAACAGAAAAGTGCATCCAGAAAGTTCACTGAAGAGTTTAGTTGGGAGATACATCTGTAAGGAAGTAAGGATGGCAGGACAGGCCATAGGGGGAAGCTAAAACTGAGCCCTCAGCTAATTTAATTAAGAGTTCTAGACCTGGGATGACCCTTCCAAGTTGTCTCAAATGGAGTCCAAGGGGCTGGGCCTTTGTATGCCTGCATCTCAGTCATTGGATGTAGGCCATCCCCTGACAGTTTGTGACCTCAGATGAGTCAGTTCCCAGAGCTTTGAGCTATTGGCAGTGAGTATTCCAGAAGCTTGTGGATGAGTATGTCAGCTCTGAAGAGGGGATCTGGGAGGAGCACCACAGTCACTCCATGCTCCTGACTGCCCAGGGTGGATGCAAAAAAAAAAATGCACCCCTTATTGTCCTCCTTGGTGCACCTCTTTCACAACTTGACTTACAGCACTGTTTAATTTGCTTTAATTACCATGCTTGTGCCCCATGACACAGTAACTGGGAGGTTTCACAATTTATAGTAATTCAAATGTTTATGTGAAGGCTAGTGTTTGTGTTTAAAACTAACTTTCTTGGGTTTCAGTTTCCTTATCTGTGGAATAGATAAAACATTTGCCTTACATATGACTCACTTCTTTGCTCTTGCAAACATAGTCAAGGTGTCGTGAGAAGCAAGTGAGGTAATATAGGTGAGATTCTCACTGAAGGCTATACAATGCTATACACAAAATGTATAGAGTGATTATCATTACAGAAGTTTGAAGTGATGAATTTTCTTCTTTAGTTGATGGTGTTTGGACAGAACCAGCCACAACCATAGCACCTACCACACCTGTGACCTCAGGTAAGACAAGTAGAAGCCCCTTTACTCATAATAAAAGTTTGATTTAAACAGAGGTGTTATTATCCCAGTTTTACTTAGTTTACATTATTAATTCAGAATAGGGCATGCCTGTTCAAATTTCACTCCTCTTAGAACCTCTCAACCTCTTCTTACCCCTAAATGCCACTTGGTCTTCTAACCTGCTCACCTCACTGTTACATCTCTTTATCTCTTCCATCTTTGTTTTGGATTCTCATTTAATCTTTCAGATGTTAGCATAGCAAGTCCCAGGAGTCTCTTCCCTCCTCTTAATCTCAGTGACTTCTATTGCTCTCTGATGAGGATTAGTCATATCACAGTTTCCTTGCATTTCTGTGGGTAACTTGGAGAGACTGGCTGGACTATTGGTCTTCCTGAATCAGCTATTTTGTCTCTCGGCTTAGCTTTCCCCTCCATTATAATTACACCTCCCAGCTGGCTGTCAGAGTCAACTAGGTAAAATGCAAGTTTGATGTCACTGTTAATTTCCCTAACTAAAACCCTTCAGTGGCTCTCTGTTACCCATTCATTCATTGATTCACCAGTTGATTCATTCTTTAATCTTTATTGAGACCTTTTTTGTGCTCCCTAAATCTCTTTATCATAACATCCAAGACCCTTCCTGAATGGATTCTGCTTCCTTTCCTGCTCTCCACCATTATTTTTCATGCTTTCTCCATTTCCTCCTGTCACTTAGAACTCCTGGTCCTGAAGGTGAGACATCACTTCCTGTTCCCACGGCCTGGTACCCTTCCCCAATTCTGCCTGGTAGATGTCACTCTCCTGCCTCCTCTGTGTCACTTTTACTATTTTGTCAAGAATTAATCACTGTATATCTCAAAGGCCTAACACAGTCTGATGCAGGAAAAGCTCAATGAATGTGTGCTGAATGAATGAATGAAGAGAAGGGAGTCAGTGAAGATGGACAGAATAAAAGGAAGTCAGCATAGAAGGGAAAAGGAAAAATGGGGCAAGTGAGGGAGCAAGCACCTTGGGAAAGGAATTTGGGCAGATAACAGAGAAAGAATAATACCCATGTGGGCTGAGTGGATAAAGGCAGGCATGGTTGGGACATTTGTGCTTTGAGTGACAAGTGTTAAAACAGAAATGGGGGAACGGAGGAACGGGATGTGTGTTGGATGCTGGATTGCACCCCGAGGCTGACCACATCTGGGTCCTCATGTCTGTTTCTCCAGTGGAGCTCTGGTGTGAGGTTTTCATGTGTACCCTCCCCTTTGGGGTCCCCCTTAGGATTCCTAGTCTAAAGGCAGCTCCTCTGTTTCCCTTACTATATATATATATATACACAGAGTGAGAGTTTTGAGAGATCCATGGTCTCACCTTGTATGTATCTCTTTTTTTAAATCCAAGTATCATTGATATACACTCTTATATTGGTTTCAAGTATACATCACAGTGGTTCAAGTTACCCATATTTTAAATCCTCACCCCTACTAGTACAGCTACTATCTGTCAACCTAGGAAGATGTTACAGAATTATTGGCCATATTCTCCAGTAAGCATTTCTTGAACCATTTTTGTTTGCTACCAGTAGGTATCATGGCTGAGTTGTTCTTGCTTCATGTGGGTCAACATTAGAGAAAAACATTAAGTGATACTCATTGCCATGTCCATAAATGGTCTCTGTGATTCATTTCAGAGCACAATGGGTTAAAAATTCTTTACTCCTTGGTTGTGTTTATTCCAGTTTTCCGGACAGGAATCAGAAACCTGGTTGTAAATGACGAAACCCCTTCTAGCCTGCGGGTAAAATGGGACATTTCAGACAGCAGTGTGCGGGAGTTCAGGGTGACCTACCTGACTGCTCAAGGCGACCCTGCGGAAGAAGTGGTAGGAACGGTCTGTATAAGTAGAGCTGACCGGAAACCGGGGACTTTCCTGACTAACAGCGCTAACGAGGCTGTCTCCAGAGATCAGTGCAAGCTTTACTGTTCATTTCTTGGTGCCTCTACCATCTCCAGGAACTAATGTTTTCTAATCCAAACTGAACTACCAGGTTCTTGACAACCTTTTTATCTCCAAAACTCACACCACATACAACCTGCTTCAAACTGATAAAGCTTCTGAACCTTGTTTCCCATATTGCCTCCATTGCCTTAACAACTTGTAAGAGAACCAAAATTGGGTCATAAATAGTCCATTATACACTTTGTGTGTGTGTGCATATATAGTGTGTGTGTGTGTGTGTGTATACTATATAACTTTTGTCCTGGGGAATCTGATTAAAAGTAAGCAAAGCATACTCATATGAAAGGTCTTTTTGATCTGGTTGCAGTCTTCCTAACAAAATGCCATCTATTAACAAATAGTTTTTCGCTGACATCAGCTCATTTTGAGAAGATTTATAGTAATTTCTAATTTTTTTTATCAATATGAGGGTCTCCCTTAGGAGATTTAGATTTTTATCTGTTGAGTTCTCTTTCATCTATGTTTGTTCTAGATTGGAAATCTAGGTACAGTCTTAATCACCACCTCTCCCTGTTTTCTTAATTGACACCATATAGTCCCTCTTTATTAATGGTCCCGTATTCAAGAATGTAAAAATTATTTCCTAGATGCTTCCCATCAAACCAGGCAACTCCAGTTTGCATCCAAAAGAAAATTTTCTTTTTAGTTATGAAATATATTTTATTTAGCTCATTACTTGCATCACTCCTTTCTTGACCTCTGCTGCATTATTTTTGAGACATTCTAGGAAAAAAGTCCCCAATTCATTATTGCTCAAGAATAACATTAATATTCTTTCTTCCTCTTTGTAACTTATAAAGTCTTTGATGGAAAATTATTTTTATCTATGTGCTTATATAAACAATTACTTGATCCCCAAATTCTCTTGGGAAAGTACTTTCAGGTTGATAGAGGAATCATTATAGAGCACAGTGATAACTCTAAGAGTAGCCATGTCCACTGTGAATAGCCAGAAGTTCCATGAAATTTGTCTGGTAATACATTTAGAAAGTAATGGACACTTAAACAAAATAGGTTGAATTATAAATTCACTCAGACTAAACATTTCAAATGATCCATGATTGGAAAATCGAAAGAAAATTAAAATTAAAAAGACTATGGTAACTAAAGATATAATTTGGCTATTTTATTTTCCTTATATTTATTTAATTTAGTTCCTAAAAATGAGACCCATAAAAAACTTCCCAGAGTGAGAGTTTTTTTGGTTTTGTTTCTACTCTTTCCAAGAAACACATGAAGCTTCTTGCTAAATTATGCCTACTAATTTGGAAAGAGGAACAATTTAATCTCATGCATGCACTTGTAAGCTATGCAAGGTAAAATAATAATAATATTTACTTTGGGTTGTCTCTAGGTAATTTTCCCTTTACTATTTTCTTTCATTTCACACTGTTTATTTTGAAACACTTGGACACCTAGATGTAGGAAAAAAAAGAATCAAAAGTCTTAAACACACATGTGCCCCAGTTAAACAAACTCTTAATCAAAATGAAAAATGTTGATGAATTTGGTGGCAATTGTTTATGTGCAGAATGGTTGCCCTCAGAAGACAGTACTATAGAGTTCTTTAAGTATGAAGCTCCTTTACTGAATTCCAAAGAAATTGGATTTGCACTTAATTTACAGGCATGTTTTCAGGGACTCGACTAAAGATTGAGAATTTATATCTCGGTGTTTTATGAAGTGTTCATGCTATAAAAATATAATGTATTACTTATTATTAGAGACAGAAAGTGGGTGCATCTCAATTTAGATCATGAGACCAGGGTAGGACAGGCAGTCTCAGATCTGTATCAAAATACAAAGGCCTTGAAATCCCAACACCAACCGAACATCTTAAAATAATGCATGTCAGGGAAAAACAAATGGCTGAAATGTATTACAGATGTGAGACAGGAAATGTGTCCAGATAAGAGAAATACTTCTTCCTATCTTTCTGTATTTTTCTCAACTATGATAACTGATTAAATTTACTTGAGGAAATAATGACAGACTGTCGAAGCTGAAGTATAGTATATGTGTATAACATTGTACACCAAAGTCAAGCTTTATTATATGTGAAACAAGGAGAATTAAATTTACTTTTCCAATTGAGGTAACTGAAGAATTTGATATTTTCTAAGTAAAATCAAATCTATGAAATATTTCCAATAAAAAGCTTGGAACTTATAGAAAGTAAAACTATTTGTCAGGTATTTCATAAGGACTGACATCCAATTCTGCCGTGAAATACAGGGGTATGGCAATGACATTGTCCCGAATTTTGTTGTTAGGGTAGGAAGGTCTCATACTTCTGTATCTGTGAAAGGCTGATCGGGATTCTAGGCTTTCTGGAGACTAGCCGTGAAAATCCATAACCATTACCTGATTCTGACTTGCAAGAAATGTTCTAGAGTGGGGATTCTTAGGGTGTGGCTCAGTCTCCCTCAAGATCATTTCAGATATTAAGACTGCACTTCCAGTTACATTTAGAACAATTTGACATTGCTGCAACATGTCAAATTGGTCATTTTTTTTTCTGGCAATTTTGTTTCATTGTATTTTATAAAAGTATCGATCTTCAATGGGTTGAAGTTAAAAGTCACCAATACCACCTAATCCTTCACCATGGATGGCATGAGAATCACTGTCTAGCACAGAACTTTGTAAGATGGGAACACAGTGAGATGCAGGGAATCCTCTTTCTGCTCAGGGAGCAGCTTGCTGGATGGGATCCAGGCTGCTCTGAAGAGCTTTGGGCAATAATGGAGCCAGGCATGAACTTGCATATGTGAAAAAAGAAAAATGAAGTTCATTGGTTGAATTTACATCTCATTTAGCCATAAGCATCTTTTATAGAATTGTTTTATAAACAAAACTACCATCTTTTATGACCTGCAGCATCTGTTTTTAGAAGAAGCCCATCTTTACCATGCTTTGTGCAAACATGCAGAGGCTAAGCAGAAGGAACTTTGAATACCCAAGAGGAGATTTACATTGTATTCTTGGGAAAGCATATCATTAGGATAAAAATGTTCAAGCGGTTCAGTCATGTGGAGGAGAGGGCAGTGGTTAAAGCAAAGCTCAGGCCAGATATTTCCACAAGGCTCCTTTACTCAAAAGCTGTGTGGGCCTCAGTTTCCCCATCTGTAAAATGAGTGCAAATGTTACTCCTTACCTCAGAGTTGTGGTAAAGATTACGTGCATCACTGTATCAGAATACTTAGAAGAACACCTGGCTCATAATAATTGCTAGATAAGTGAGGCTATTATTATAAACCACAGCAACTACTTCCTGGCAAGCTAGAAACATCTCCACTACTTCTCGGCATTGCACAGTCTAAATTTGATTGGATCCAAGGCCATGGGTTTCTTATTTTGAGAGATGACCTTAATTAAAGAACATCAACTTGGGTGGCTTTTGAAGCAGACAGCTTGGAACGAATGCCCAGAGTCTGTGCTCCAGAGAAGTTATATTTAAATGAAACACCCTCAAGGAAGCTACATAGATAGGGTAACACAAGTTAGGACAGCCACAGCTCTTCTTTTACATGTCCCTGAGGCCAGGATTATCTAACTCATTTGAGAACAGAGCCGAGCTTTTAAAAAAATATCCCTTCCAGGACCACATCAGAACAACCCTGTAGTATATTTCAATGTTCCTTTCATATGAGGAGCAAAATCATATTAATCCAATATAAAATCACCAATTTAGATGCCTACACACACACACACATACACACACACATTTGCTATTAGAGTTAGCAATTCCTTGGCAACAGCTTCTTCTGGGTTCAACTCGAGGCTTCCTAGAGCTTATTCCATGATTTATTGGTTCCTTTCCTCATCCAGAAGTAGAAGGCACAACCCTTTGCCTGCTGGCATTTTATCCAGCCCTTGAATCGAAAAGCATCTCCAGCTGTTCCAGTCTTGTGACTCCCAAAAAAGCATTTGGGTCAGTTCTTACATCCCAGCATTTTTCCAGCCATGATTGAGTTCCTTAAATGGGCCAGAGATATGCCAGCATCTTAGCTACTCAAGCACAGGCAGAAAGTTTTGTGGTTTTAGCATTGAGAACATGTGGCTTTTCTGGACCACATATTCTTCTGGGGATGCCAGAATTTGCGCTGCTGGGCCACATGGTGCGTCACACTGATGTTTATATGGTGTCAGTGCCACTGCTGCATTTCAAACTTTTGCAGCCTTTAAACACAGAATGATGGTGATTTCAGATTGAGAAAGACTTGATCCTCTTTCAGAAATAAAAAAGATGCAACCTTTTTAGTGTTACTAGAAATGGGTTTTGATCTGGAAAACTTGGATTTAATTTGTGGCTCTGTTGTTTTTGGCTATCATCCATTCTCTTCTGAAATGCTGGGATGAGATTATCTCTGAAAGGGTAAAGAGTGGAAGGCTGAATTTTCAAGAGGATACTTAAGTCGAATAAAAAATGATAAGCAGGCTAGATTATAGAATGAACACTTGTAAGATATAAACACCTGCTTTCCAAATTGATGATTATTCTCTCTTCCGGATATTTAACAAATGTTGAAAAGATGTTGAGAGAAGCCTATTCCTCACGGCCTAGTAGATGGAAATTTAAACCTTCTGGATTAGTGGTTATATGGTTATACACTAAGGGTTGCTAGGAGGGAATTTCAGAGAGAAATGCTTTTGCATGGATGCCCTTTTATTTTTCCTATTATGCTTCAAGCACATCTCTTTGCTTCTGACTATTTCTGAGTGCCTACCGTCCTGCACCAGGCTCAATAGAAGAACAGGCTCAGAGGTCTTACTAAGACTGTGGTCCTTTGCTTTTCAGGTTATGGTGCCTGGTAATCAAAACAATCTCCTTCTGAAGTCTCTGCTTTCCAATACGGAATACAAAGTCTCAGTGACTCCCATCTATGACGATGGAGATGGTGTCAGTGTCTCTGCCCCTGGAAAAACCTGTGAGTGACGCTTTCTCCCTGTGGATACTAGCTGACTGACTAATTAAAAATACTCATCTCCTGTAATGCACCCCAAGAGCTGCAGTGTAGTGTGGTGAAACAAACAAAAGATAATCGGCTATGTGTGACTAGGTACAGAATGGTGGCAGGGGCTGATTTCTGTACCTGGGCACCTAAGCATGGATTTTTCAAGTAAGGGTGCAAGTTGTTAAAATTCTGTAGCTGCAGCTGCGAGTTCTGATGGCTCCATGGAGCAAATGGGTATTATCTCCTTAGGTAACAGTGCTGGCATCTCTCCCTCCTCTCTGTGCCCATGTTGAGTGCCCCTACCAGACTCCCACCAAACCTGCATGTTTTGCCAAAGGTCACCCAGAGTACTGGGGACGCTAAGAGTTGCTACAGTTATTTCCTCAGGGGTCATGGAAGGAGAGAAGAAAAGCCGAGGAGCAGAGCCATGGTAGAGCTCTGAGCTCTTCACTTCACTTTACTGGTGCATTTGCATCTTGATTTGCTCTTGCTTTGATCTATGCCTAAGAATTTTGAATGTATTTTGAAATTTTGCTGCTAAATACATTTTTGAGAACCACAGACTTAAACAACAATTAAAGAAGAAAATCAGGTAGTATTCACCTAAAATTTATATGCTTTTAAATACATCCTTATTTGCCTTAAATTCAGGTTGTTTTAAAAAAGAGCAGAAGCAGGCAAGAATGGTTTAAAATAAACATGGTAAATTCTGCTGTTCTGAGTTGGTTTTGGATTATTTAATACTCTGATGTTCCATAAAGTTACTGTAACTCCACCATTGTGGGGCCAGGGGAGGAAGGGAAGGAAAATGGTTGGAAAGCAAAGGGGTTCCATCTAACTTAGGATGACCTGAGCTCAAAGATCTGCTTTTACCTTTCGTAGGTTAAAAATTAGTATCATTTATAAAAGGGTTCCATGATGAGCACACAGATGCACATACACGAATGAAAACTATTTAAAGACCATTACTACAAAGTTTGAGTTTAAATCTCATTACAGATATACCATCACATGTAACTTTGTCCATATAGTAAAATTATTTCAAAATGTTAGTGGATGGTCTACTTATTTTAAGCAGTAGTCAACACAACTAAATTCTATCAACAAAATGGTAATGATAATATGTGAATATGCACTATAGTTTATAAAGGTCCTCCGTATAAATGTCTTTAATGTTTTGATTAATAATTGATAAATGATAATATAAAATTTCAAACAATATAGGCAATATAAGATGAAAGCCAAAAGAAAAGATCAGAATCTTACCTCTTAGAATCACCATCAATACCACTGCGTGATCACCCTTGATTTGATATTGCCATACAAACATACTTTGATAGTGTAACAGAGTGGCATATAGACAGAAATTTTTAATAAAACTATTCAATTCAGTTTCACTTAAAATTAACTGAACAGAAAAGAACCAAAGTGACATTGAATGAACTGGTGGTCTTCCAATAAAGTGTTTCAACTCAAGAACAATTTTCTATGCATTTATATTTAAAACAATCAGACTCTCAAAGGCTTCTCACCACATATTACAGTGCCTTTTCACTTGTATATACTTTATATAGAATTGTGGGAAGATATCTTAGTTTTTTGTTAACAGCAGTGTAGGTTGTAAAGATGGAAACCACACTAAACCCCTGCTTTTCCTTTTCTTTCCTGCTCAGTGCCACCCTCCGGTCCCCAAAACTTCCGGGCCTCAGAAGAATGGTATAACAGGGTGCGCATTACATGGGATCCCCCATCTTCCCCTGTAAAGGGCTATAGGATTGTCTACAAACCTGTTAGTGGTAAGTAATGCTTGTTAAGATATATTGTTACCCATGATTAGGCATCAAAAGGCCTTTTAAAATTTTTTTTCTTTTTTTTTAAAATTTTTATTTATTTTTGGTTTTAAGAAGTGTGAAGAGTCTCTTTCCTTTTTGGGGGTAGTGGGGGAAAAGCTTTTCGAATATGGTCAGTGTTGGGTAATATTATCAGAATGATGAAGTTATGAGTCCACCTGACCTGTGCACACCCCAGACGAGGACCCAGCCCAAGGAAACCCTGACTCCCTGGGGACAGGAGGCTGCTATGACTTGATGCATATGTAAGTCTTCAACCTTCAGAATCTCTAATTTCTAATTCCTCTTCTACTTCTTAATTCTTGGTTTAGTTGGAAAAAGTCCACTTATCAACTTCTCAGTCTTATCATTTTGGAAACTATTTTGGGGTATATAATTTATCAAAAAACTAAGATTACAATAGTAAAAGGCTTTTCCATCAGCCTCTTAGCCACCCGATAGAAAGGCCCTCTCTCCTTATTGCCCACATCATTATATCCTGAAGACAAGAGCACGACCCAAACAGGTTCCCTTGGTCCCTGTGTCTGTGGAGGTGAGACCATGTGCCTCCATCTGTTAGCGCGTCATCTCCTGATGCTTAGCACTTTTATGAAGTTTAAACAGGAGACTAACACTAGATATGATGAGAGTCTTCTTGGTTTTCTGAATCTGGGCCTTCAGTACTTTCATTGTTTAGCAGAAAGGGGTTCTCCAATTTTTTTCTTGATTTGGCAGGGATATTTAAAAAAGCATTCTTCAGATCATTAAAAAACTTTCTGCCCTCAAAAACTTTGTTAGTCTCAATTTGTCCTGTGAGATGCTCTTGCCTCTGTAACACTGTAGAGCTTTTTCTGTTCTGTCTCACTATTAAGGCCCATACAACTAAAATACCCCACCTCCAAATTCTCCAGGTAAACCATGCAAATGAAATAGCAAGATGCAGTTGGGATATATAGGGGACAGACTAGCCTGATCAAGGTTGATGCCTTGGGATCCATCACCAGTTTTGTTGTTGTTTGTTTTGTTTAGACCTAAGCCATGTGTTAATTCGTAGTACAGCCTTGCTGGATTTGTTCTTTGGATCATTTTTTAAGTATTTTCTGAGGGAAATAGCTTTGTCTTAAGCCAGTGGTTCTTGATTGGTGCAGTTTTGCTGCCCAAAAGAGGTATATTCTTTACTTTTCTTCTGTTTCCTTATTTATTTTCTGTCTGGATGACCTATCTATCCATTGATGTAAGTGGGGTGTTAAAGTTACCTACTAGTACTGTATTGCTGTCAGTTCCTCCTTTTAGGTCTGTATTTGGTTTATATGTTTAGGTGCTCCTGTGTTGGGTGCATAGAAATTTATAATTGTTCTGTCTTCTTGTTGGACTGATCCTTTTATCATCATGTAATGTCCTTTGTTTCTGGTTACTTTGTTTTGAAGCCTATTGTCTCTGATGTAAGTATTGCAACTCCAGCTTTTTTTCGTTCCTATTTGCATGGCATATCTTTTCAATCCCTTCAGTTTCAGTTCTAGCAGAGATATTTTCTACTGTAGATTATATAGATTACATAAATCATGTATATTATATAGCTCAGAGGGTAGAGCATTGCCATTGGCATCTGGCAGGTACTGTTAAGCATCAGACATGTGACAGTGCCTCCACCATCCTGCCCCAGAGTAAAGAACTATCCAGCCCACAATGTCAGTGATGCCGAAGTGAAAGAATCATGCGTGGTCACTTGCCTTGAGGTTTTAGGGCCTGGGAAAACTGCTACTGAGATAACACATACATACAGAAATATACACAAATATTTTATTGGAAGGGGGTGTTCTGGAGTAAAGTAACAAGTATTTTAGGAGCTTATTTCTAACTCAAAGCTCTCAGAGAATGAGCACATCTGGGAAGAGGCATGAGGTAAATAAAAAGAACTTGGCAAGGAATGTTTTTAATGTTAAATAAGACTCACTGGGTTGAAACAGAGGTGAAAATATAAAGGCCCAAAGAAGCCTACTGATGAAGAGTCTTGGATTAAGTGCATCATCAGTCTGGTCTTAAAAATCTTAAAAGGAGTAGGCAGAACTAATGTGGTAACGTGGGTGGGCCCCCCAGACAGCAAGGTATGGCATAACGTCCGTGATAAAACTTGCCCCTACCGTCATTTGCATGCCTGCTAGGGACAAAGCTGGGTGTGTGAGAAAGGGAGACTGAGAATGACTTCTTCGGTTTGGCAAATGCCCCAAAGCCTATGGCAACAGAGTAACTCCACTAATGGATGGATGGTGGACCAGCTTCTTCAAATAAGCACCAGGGAAGAACTGCTTTTGAGAAAAGGACTAGATCCCTAAAAAGAGCTTCAGCATGTAGTGAGGTGCATAAGGCTTAGAGTTAGGTGCAGCTAGGTTCAACGCGCAGCTCTGCCGCCGGCCTTCTGTACAATCCCGGGCAACTGCACAACAGCTGAACAAGTGCAATCCACTTCAGGATGGTTTCTGTGTTTCCATGTTCCGCTCTAACTGAGATACACTCTTTCTCCTTTAGTTGCCGGCCCCACACTGGAGACCTTCGTGGGAGCTGACATCAACACCATTCTCATCACCAACCTGCTCAGCGGCATGGACTACAGCGTGAAAGTATTTGCCTCCCAGGTCTCGGGCTTCAGCGACGCGCTGACCGGCGCGGTGAAAACCCGTAAGGCTAACGTCCCGTCGTCTCGGCGCCCCCATGTGCTTTTGCCGCTTTGTTTTCACTGTAATTCAAGCCCTGCTTTTGCTTGGCTTGGCAGTTGGCTCTCTTTTTCTCAGCATTGCCTTTTCTGGATGGTGTTTCACGGAAAGAAAAGCCCTGGTGCTCCTTACTCAGGACTGGAGTTCAGAGTCCTGGTTGGCAGGCGAACATCAGAGCCTGGCATTCAAATACACGTGGTGGCGGATAGGATTTCCCTCTGGAAAGTTTTTGTTGGCGTTTTTCAAATTAGGTGAAAACTTCCAACCAGCCTGTAGGCTGACACAGCCAACACCAGTCAGATTTGGGCCATGGGGAAGTTTGCCTTTTCTCAAAGCCTCTGCCTGTTGTCCCTGAAACATGCGTGCGCACACACATATGCATACACACACGCCATCCGTAGAAGATAAATGCACCGCTCTAAGGACGTCTTCTCTACCTGTTAAGGGTTTTCATGCTGTCTATGCACCCTCGGGACTTCTCGTTGGCATATACCCCTCCCAGACCCCCATGGCACAATGCTGTTTTTTCCAGACTCCAGCATGAATGTTCCATATTCCTGATATTTGTTATATTTCCACACCATCTGTTTAATGTATTTCTTTAAATCGACTTGCAAGTTTTTTGTTTTTTACTTAAATACTTTTCAAAACCCATGTAATTACTCTAAACAGAACAGTATTTTTTTAAAATTGAAGTACAATGGATATACAACCTTATTGAGAATGAGAGTTGAGGTATAATCAAAAGTATAAGCCTTAAATCTGCTAATTATTAGCTATGGCCTTGAGTAAACCACTTCTCCGAGCCCAAGTTGTCTCAACTCTAAAATAAAGATAATAATAACCATTTATTGGCTAGTTATGAGGATTAAAGAGATACTGTATAAAAAGTGTCAACCATATGGCAAGCATTCAATGAATAACCACTGTGATTATTGTAATAATTGTGCTTTATGTACTTGGCCAACATCTCAGTCTCATCCCTCATCAAATAATCTGATAGATGGAATTAAGCAGGAGTGGGTCATGTGTTAACCCAGACTGCAAGCCATTTACATTTGGTTGCTTGTGTTTTATGTAGGGCCTGCCCTTTCAATAGAAGAGGCTTTCTAAACTCTCTTGTAGGGAATATTCATCTTGAGACCTTAAAGGCTAGATACAGAAACAAGTTAATTCCAAAAGAAACAGTTTCTGTCTGCAGTAGATCTAGGAAGCCATTGCCCTATGGTTCTGATCTCATACTTGGCTTTTGACCATGATACAGTTCTGGTGGCTACCATAATCTCCAAGTAGTTTCTGAGGTGGTGCTAGTACAGCAATTCCTCAGTTCTTCCTTGGGAACACCAGAATCCCATGTGCATTTTCCTACTCTCTATCTCTTCTCTCTTTATCTAGTTTATCTTTATTTTCCTCTCTAGATTGTTCTTTCTATATGTGCCACATTTTCTGTGTCTGTGATTTCTTTGTTGATCTCTCTTTTTACTCTTTCTTGTCTCTTTCTATCCTCCTTTCTCAGTTTCCTCTTTCTTCTTTCCATCCCTCTTCTCTTCTTTAATAATTATGTTGAGTATTCCAAATATATTTAAAAGAGAGAGTATTGAATTATTTTATATTTTGTCCTTAAAGTAAAAATTAGGTGAGCTTATTATTGGTTTTCTTTCTCCCAAGCAAAATAAAACCCCATACAATGGCAAATGTATTAATTTAAGTTTAAAAAAAAAATTTAGTGTAGTTACGTAAAACTATCAATTTCCTTTTTTTGTGGGAGGACAGGGATTGCTTAATTAGCTTTAGTAAAAAGGTCTTCTCTCTGTTATCTAACCAAAAGGAACAATGAAAAGATGTAAACTGTAATTAGGCAAGTTTATTTTTACTGTCTTGAAAAGTAATTTTAAGCTATTTTTATTTTATGAGGTAGCTAAGAGAGAGGGAGAAGTAGGAGAAATTTATGTGGATAGAAGAAGTCAGGTCATTAGAGAAAGTAAATATTAAATTTCTGCTTTTCCTGCTTAGATTTAAATGATAAACACGGATGCTTATTTCTCTATTGTGTTAGAGAAACACTATTTTTACTGCTTCCCAAATAATCTTTCTGTGAATAATTGTTGTACATCACAGTGTTGTAAGGTTAATAGGAATCAGCGTATTTGTTTTTTAATAATTTTTTATTTGTGTTAATCTTTCATTTTGAAATTTTCAAAAATTAGCTTATTCTCATTCAGTTATGTTTTGAAGGCCAGTCTTCCTGAAACTGCTCCTGTTTCCCTTTTGTCAACTTTGCGTTTATTTAAACCATGACTCTCTCCCAGTGGTTCACAAGTACATACTATACTAAATTTTTTTTCAAAAAAGTCTTAGATATTAATTGTGGAAAATATAGTAAACACAAATAAATAAAGAGGGAAGATTAAAAATCACCCATAATTTCACCATCCATTGCATGTGATCTTTTTCTTGTGAATATGTATTTCCTTTTTTGTTTACAAATATCAGCCAGGCCATATCATGCATACTGTTCTACAACTGCTCTTTCAAGTCATAAAGTAGTTATCTTTTGTTCACTAATTTACTGTGAGTTGATGAATTTCCCTCCCCTGGTTATGGAGCTTTAATTAGAATACTGTTGTGTTAAGGTTAATTTCAGATTTGGGGACATTTGTGGCATTGTCTGCAGTGTGACAGTTACGTTTCTATTTCATTATAGTGTTTTTGGGTGTGACCAATCTTCAAGCAGACCAGATTCAAATGACCAGCTTGTGTCCTAAGTGGCAGATCCACCGTCATGCTACTGCCTACAGGATAGTTCTAGAATCTCTCCAGGGTAAGTGCAATCCATCACATATATTTTGTCAAGCACTTGTGTACTTGGTTCTGTGCATATCACTGTGGATAACACACAAGTGACATTAGACAAGAGCCTTCTTTTTAAAAAAAAAAAAAAGCACACTCCAGCTATTGTAGTTGCTATCTATCAACAGAGAAAGATGTTATAGAACTCTTGACTATTTCTCTATGCTGTGCATTCATCCCCATGACTAATTCATGTTGTGATTTAGATTTTGTGCCTCTTTATCCCCTTCATCTATTTCAACCACCCATCCCAACCCCTCCCTCTGGTAAGCACCAGTTACTTCTCAATGTCTATGAGATTATTGCTGTTTTGCTTGTTATATTTTGTTTTGTTTTCCACATGTAAGTGAAAACATATGGTATTTGTCTTTTTCTGCCTGGCCTATTTCACTTAGCATAATACCCTTTAGATCTGCCCACAGTGTTGCAAATGGCAAGATTTCTTTCTTTTCTTTATGGCTGAATAATATTCCATTGTTTATATGTACCAAATCTTCTTTATCTGTTCATCTACTGATGGACACTTTGGTTGCTTCCATATCTTGGCCATTGTAAATAATGTGGCAGTAAATGTAAGGGTGCATATATCTTTTTGAATCAGGGATTTTGTTTTCTTCAGGTAAATTTCTAGGAGTGGAGTTACTGGGTTGTTTGATATTTCTGTTTTTAGTTTTTTGAGGAACTTCCATACTGCTTTCCACAGAGGCTACACCAATTTACCCTCCCATAAACATTGTAGGAGGGTTCCCTTTTCTCCACATCTTTGCCAGCACTTGTTATTTCTTGTCTTTTTGGATAGTGGCCATTCTAATTAGTATGAGGAAATATCTCACTGTGGTTTTGATTTGCATTTCTCTGGTGATTAGCGATGTGGAGCATTTTTTATGTGCCTGTTGGCCATCTGTATTTCTTCCTTGGAGAAAATGTCTATTCAGGTCCTTCGCACATTTTTTAATTGGGTTATTTGAGTTTCTGGTGTTGAGGCTTATGAATTCTTTATATATTTTAGATGATAACCCCTTATCAGATAAATTATTTATGAATATATTCTCCCATATTGTAGGATGCTTTTTTGTTCTGCTAATGGTATTCTTTGCTATACAGCAGCTTTTTAGTTTGATGTAGTACAACTTTCTCAGTTTCGCTTGCTCAGGAGATGTGTCCAGGAATTGCTCATGCTTATCTTCAAGAGATTTTTGCCTATTTTTCTTCTGAGAGTTTTATGGTTTCATGTCTTATATTTTGGTCTTTAATCCATTGTCAGTTTACTTTGTATACGGTGGTAGACAATAATCTAATTGCATTCTCTTGCATGTGGCTATCCAGTTTTCCCAACACCATTCATTGAAGAGACTATCTTTTCCTCATTTTTTATTTGTGGCTCCTTTGTCATATGTTAATTGATCATATATACATGGGTTTATATCTGGGCTCTGTATTCTGTTCCACTGATATATGGGCCTGTTCTTATGCCAGTACCATACTGTTTGGGTTACTATAGCTTCTTTGTAGTATAGCTTAAATTTTAAAGTCAGGAAGCATAATCCCCTCCAGCTTTGTTTTTCTTTCTCAAGATAGCTTTGGCTATTCGGGGTCTTTTTTGGTTCCATATAACATATAGGTTTCTTTGTTCTTGTTCATTGAAAAATGCCATTTGTATTTTGATAGGGATTGCACTGAATCTATAAATTGCCTTGGGCAGGATGGGCATCTTGACAATATTAATTCTTCCTATCCATAAGCATGGGTTAGATTTCCATTTATTTGTGTCTTCGTAAATTCTTTCATCATGTCTTACAGTTTTCAAAGTACAGGTCTTTCACTTCCTTGGTTAGGTTTATTCCTAGGTATTTTATTCTTGCTAATGCAATTGTAATTGTAATTGTTTTCTCAATTTCCCTTTCTGCTACATTGTTGCTAGAATATAGGAATGCAACAGATTTCTGTATATTGATTTTGTATCCTTGCCACTTGCTGAATCCAGTCATTAATTCTATTAGATTTTTGGGTTTCCTCTGTGTATATCATCTCATCTGCAAATAGTGACAGCTTTTTACTTCTTCCTTACCATTTTGGATGCCTTTTATCTCTTTGCCTGTTTGCCTTTTTGTCTGATTGCCATAGCTAGGACTTCCAGTACTATGTTGAATAAAAGTGGTGAGAGTGGACATCTTTGTCTTGTTCCTGATCTTAGAGGAACAGCTTTCAGCTTTTTGCCATTGCGTGTGATGTTAGCTGTGGGTTTGTCATATATGACCTTTATTATATTGAGGTATGTACCCTTTATACCCATTTTGTTGAGAGTTTTTATCATGAATGGGTGTTGAACTTTGTCAAGTGCTTTTTCAACATCTGTTGAGATGATCATGTGGTATTTATCCTTTTTGTTAATATGTGTATGATGTTGATTGATTTATAAATATTGTACCATCTTTGCATCCCTGGAATAAATCCCCCTTGCTTGTGATGGATGATCCTTTTGATGTATGGTTTTAGTATTAGAGTGATGCTGGCCTCATAGAATGAGTTTGGAAGTATTCCCTCCTCTTTTATTTTTTTTTTAATACTTTGAGAAGGATGGATATTATCTCATTTCAAATATTTGGTAGAATTAAGCTGTCTATTCTAGGTTGTCCAATTTATTGGCATATAATTTTTCATAAAATTTGCTTATACTTCTTTGCATTTCTTTGGTGTTAGTTGTAACTCCTCCCTCTTCTTGAGGAGGCAGTATTGTGTTATGGATCATGCAGGATATAAAGTCAGAATGACTGACTAAGCTAGTTATTTAATATCTCCAAACCCCCATTTTCTCATCTGTTAATGGGCATTAACCATAGTTCTCATTTCTTGGCATTCTGTGGGGATTAACCTGAGATAAATTTGTATAAAGCATTTGCAAACTGCTTTGCACAAATGAGATGCCTGAAAAATGTTAGCTGCTATTGGTAATAGGAACTGAATAGCCAGGACTAACATGCATTACAATTATATGGCACTAATATTTTAGTATTTACTCCATGGGATCTAGATTTTACTTTAATGTTTTACTTAGTAATTATTCTTACTTTTGGGGATAATTGGTGAACAAGAAACTCTCATTCAGAAGATGGTATAATGTATCTATGCTATCATGAACAGATTTTTCAGTATTTATTCTTAATTACAACTACAATTTGAGACTTTGTTTCATAGTTGGAACACTAAAAATGATTTCATTAAAAATATCAAGAACAACAAAAGGTTGATTCCTGAAAAGCGAGTTTCTAGAGAGCCTCAATCCTCTTTTCATATTATCAGCATGGATAATATTCAGAAGGTGAGATTAAATAATGAAAACTAATCAAATTTGTATTATCAGTAGGAAAGATATATCTTGTTATTCTGGGGGAGCTATAAGAGACACTAGAGAAACCCAAATAATTTTTTAAAATTTTTCAAACATGCTAATGAAATTGTTAAAAATTTTCTTTCTGGAAAATGATCATGCTTTCCTCATTTAAAAAGCAGAAGGAACTAATTTTTTGGGTCTAGATAAAATTAATTTATTCACCCATATTGCTGACTGTGACTACATTAAAAATGCAGATGATCCAAAAAAGTAGAAAGCACAGTTTAGTAGAGTCTTGCTAACATTTGGAAATATGCTGAGAATATGAGAATAGAATATGAGCAACACAAGAAGCAACCCCTGACAATCCCAGCCAAGACATTATCTGAATAGAGATACTGAGCCACTAATTCCTTAACTTCCTGTGTGTAATCCTATAAGGATCCATTTAGCCTGACACTGGCTAAACATAGGAGAGTGGCTTTAGTCTGAAATAAATATACAGTAAGGGAAAATCAGGATAAGTCACTTGGATTTTGTGGTTGTTTTAAACATGATTTATTGGATGCTTAAGCAAAAGTATATGAAAAATATGCAACTGCCATAGAGAAAAGACTATAAAACCTTAAAGAGTTACATTTCCTGTATCTTTATAAGAACAGCTAAGTCACATTGTAAATTTAGGGGGTTGACATTTACTGGAATTTGTTAAGGTTTGAAAAAAATACTAAGTGTAAAAAAGTCACACTGCCAAAGTACCCCACAATATTTTATCCTTTTATATCATTTATGAAGTTGCCATGAAGGCTCCTATGAATATTTATAGACTTTCAAAAAAATGTAAGTATATAGAATGACATGAAGATGTGTTGAAACTGGCTTTATCAATGGAATTAATGAGACCCATAAGTATTGTTTTATTAAGTGCATTTGGTTTAGCGTACTTGGAAAATAGCACTGGGATTCTTATCAAAGGATATGATTGATGTGTCTGATAACATTGATCTGGTAATCCAAAACCTCAAAAAATCTCTTTCTGAAGCCAAGGTCTTTGCTAGAGAAAAACGTGAGTCCACGTTTCCTTCTTATCTTGAAGTTAATTTGTACCTCTCAGTATTGTTTTCCAGCTGCCAAAAACCTCTTGAACTGAGCCTCAATAGTCTCTATTAAACAAGAATGAACAACGTGTTGCTCAGTGTATTTTTCATCAACATTTTTAGTTGAGAGATTTATGAGCCCAATTAGCCTACATTTTATTCAACCAGTTGACTGACTGAATATTGTTAACTAACAGGACAGCAATAGATCCTAACTGACAGACTCAAAAAGAAGTGGTTGGAGGTAGGGATTGAGTATAGGGATAGCAGTAGAGAATGTATTTAAATATTTTAACTTGTACAGTTTAGGTAAAGGAATATTTTTTCTACTTCAGAGTGGGGAAGAATTAGACTGAGTTTCTTTCCTTTGTTTTTTTCAGTATCAACCTTCTTCACCCATTTCTCCCTCCCTCTGCCTCTGACAGCCACTAATCTGTTCTCTGTGTCTATGAGCTTGGTTTCAGGCTGGGTTTATCTTGCAGAGAAATGTGATCCTCATGCTGTCACTGCCTGGCAAGGGCTTGTGGTCAGATGCCCATTTTTCCACAGGCAGATGAGTCCCAGAGCCCCCACTGCTTTAACTTGGTCCCAGTTCCCATTGACTTCATGTGCTACCACTGAAGACATTTCATTCAGTCTTTCCACCCAGGAAGAGATACTAAAGAGAAATGGGACCTAATTCCTCCATATGAAGGAGATAAGTTTTATCCTAGAGTGACCTATTACAGAATGCCTCTGACAAATCCCGATTATTTGATGGGTAATTTTTTCCTTTTTTTTTTTTTTTAAATATATTCTCTCTCCATGGTCTGGTATGTGAACTTGTATGCTGGGACGAAGTCAGTGAAGGCACCTCAGTTCTAACCATAACTACTGGTCAACTTCTCTGAGATTTAGTTTCTCTTAAATTACTTCTTTTGAGGCCTTTTCCTGAGGTAATACCTACAAATTTCTAAGGTTTTTGTGAATAAAACAGTCAGGCTGTCTCATTCAGATTTGTTTGTTTGTAAATGGCAGAAATGCAGGCAAAAATGACTTAAGCAAAAGAGTCAATTTATTGGCTAATATACTGAGAAGTTCAGTAGTATCTGACTTCAGGCACATCTGGATTTAAGTGTTCAGACAGTGTCATCAAAAATAAGTCTTGCTCCATCTTTCTGCTCTGCTCTCCTCTGCCTTCGTTCCCAGCCAGATTCTTGGAGTTGGCCTCGATCAGATCCAGAATTATGTCCTCCAACCCGACAGTCTTAGTGAAGGGAAAGCTTCTCTTTCTCAGTAATTCCAACAAAAGTCCAGCAACTTGAGTCATATTGGCCTGGTTTAGGTCATATACTCCTAAATCTGTCATTGAGTGCAAGGGCATGAAATAAACTGACTGGTCAGAACTGGTTGCCTCCCGCCCCTGTATCTGGGGGGAGTGGGGAGTTATTCAGCCCTTTCCAAATCATAAAGACTGAGAGTGAGGCAGAACGTATTCAAAGAAAGAGGGAATAGATGCAAGATAGGCAAAAACAACAGATGTCCTCTACCCATGTAAATATTATGACATTTTTTATAGCCAAGAAGAAATAAAAGAAAGATTACCAAAAGGATAAGGTTTTCTCAGGAAAGACTGAAATACATCCGTGTTTGTGTCAGTCATCCACTTGCCAAATTAAATTGTAAGCTCTTAACTTACAATTTTACTGGTTAACTGTAGGACAGACCAAAGTCAGAGACTTTTGGTTGGTCTTGGTTAACTCAGAACCCCGTGGGAGCCTGCAGTAGTTCTGTGGAAGTTCTGGAGTTGTATTGCTCTCTCCAGCTATTTTTGAGTTGACTTGGCACAGAGGTTGAGTACAGCATTTCCCTTCAAGTTCATGTATTTATACACTACATGAGCCCAAGTTCTGTAGTCATTCCGTAATCTCCATAACTTGGTGAATTTCTTCATTCCTGCTTTAAAAAAAGTTTCCAGGAATACTCACCTTATCTTCTATCTTCTTGTTGAAATGTCAGTTTTGCAGTATCCTAAGTAGAGAATCACAGCACAGTGGAGAATCTACCTCAACCAGACACCAGATCCAAAACAAAAACTCATATAAAACAAAACCTGTTCTCAAGATTAAACTTTTTGAAGTAGTGACATTATGTTTGGGGGTCAAGATATTTGTCAGACGTTGGGAACGGAAGCATTTGTATCTTAAAATTCCAGCAGACTGTCTTGGATCCTGGATATTTTTTACTTGTGGATCTCCGTTACTCTACCTAGGACATTGTGATGATTCAAGTTGGTGGCCTCATTATCAGCATGATAATAACCTACAGAATATATTTAGTATGGCTTCATAAGAATGAATGCACACAATTTTTTCCCCTGTCCTAAAAAAATACATTAACTTTTGGCACAAGGGTTTGAGGAAATTGGTCATCATTTGATCGGTTTAGATGATTTCTTTAAGGCAAACCTTTAGACCAGAATCACGTGCCAAAAGCAACATGGATACATGCCCTTTCACGTAACTCTTTGTTAGTATTGGGATATAGATTGATTAATTTTATTATGTCTGTTCCAGTTTTCCAATGGTTTGTAGATTTTTTTTTTAGCAGTAAAATGCATTTACATTGCATTATCAATGGTCTGTAAAGTTCATAGATGTCCACGGGAAATAGAAGAGACAGTAGAAAAGCACATTTCAAGGTTTGATTCATGGGGCGTCCCAGGAAGCTTTTATGGAGATGGATAAATATGATCCATGCAAAGGATTTAGGATATGTTTGTATTACAGGTAGTTAACAGGTCAACAGAGCTTGTAAGAGGCTCCATAGTTGTGGTTAAGTATTAAAAAGAAAGAGCTACTATGGGTTTCTGAGCCTGGGAATCAAACACTGAATTTGGACATAAGCAAAGCAGAGTGCAGTGTTCATTTTTATTTTCTTACAAGCAAACTCCTTGAATAGCAATATATAATCTCACAAACACCTTAACAATCTTTTTATTTCATCATTTTGCAAAATATACAATAAATTACTGAGGTAGACCTTAATTTATTCTGAATAAATGTATTACTAAGATTATATTATAAGGCTCACTTTTGAAACTCTGTAATATTCAGAATTATAAAAATAAATTTCAAATTCCATTTAACAAATGGCCTTAATTTATTTATATTTTTAAAAATCAAGATTTGTCCATAGGCAAAATTTTAAATGGTATATGTCATATTTGTCCTGATATATGTACATTGTATATATATGTTTTGTTCCAATATATACATTAAAATATAGATTGAAGTTTAATTGGTGGCATGCTTTCAAAATAGGTAAAAGTAACTGTTTAATAGTTCTTGTATTTTGTGCTTAAAAATGTAACTGGTCTGTTTTTATGTTTTCTATATTTTGTTTATATTTGATAAATTGCAAATAGCATTTGAAGTAGTTTGTTAAAATCACTCAATAATATGTGTAATGTATTTAATTAATGCAGTTTTAAATACTGGTTTTTAAATTCTAGAAGTAAAGCTATGTAAGGTTTTGACTACATGGATGCAACTTAGGAATCAGATAAAGATCAATCTAGAAGATTGTTCTTTTCATGGTAGCAGTAAATCTTCCTTTTAACCAATTATCTGTGTGGTAAAAAAATACGCACTCTTCCTGTAAAGGAAACCCATTTGAAATTTTTAGTAATGAAACCCACTAAGGTAGGCAGCCATTCCCCATGGAGTGCTAAGCACTGAGCCATAAGGGGTCCTCCTCTGAACTCTGCATGCTGTCATGTTTGCTTATTTCATATGCACGCAGCAGCTTTCAGATTGTTTTATTTTGGAAAACCTTATGCTTAACTAACTTCATGATGTATTAGTGGAGATTAAAGCAACATCCTCTGAGACTGGCTTTTAGAGTTCTGAAAATTTAAATTTCAATTCTACTTATGGAATTCTATGGACTTTGTTAAGCTACTAACTTTTCTGGTCTTCAGTTTTTTGTCTTTAGATTGAGGATAATTATAAATGTTGTAAGGATCAAATGAGTTGATACACATAAAATCCTTAGAATAGTGTCTGGCACAAGATCAGGTCTCATAAAATGTTGGCTATTATTATCATTGTTGTTGTTATGAAATTCCAAGCACAGAACCTAGCTTGTAGTAAGCCCTCAGGCAATGATAAATGTCATTCATATAACTTCCCCAGAGTCCAGACCCAAGGACCAGCACTAACTCCTCCAGGAAAGCAAAGCAATCCTGGATATGGGAATGCAGAAAGTAGCCAACAGTTAATCAGGTTGCTAAATTCTTTGTGCCTCTGCCAGGGTGGAGACATGACAGAGAAGGTGCTAGGTGAAATGGCTGTATATGGCATGTGTCCTTGATAGAACAGAAAGAACTCTGGAACCAGGAGTGGGGAGACGGAGTCCTGTTGTATGTATGGCCCTAAGCCTCTTAAGTATCATGTCCTGTTTCCTCAATTTTGATTTTAAAAGAATAAAACAGGGTCTTCAGAGTGGATCCAAGGAGTTTTGAGAGCTTCCTCTGAACTTTCTTGGAGTCTGCTTTGCATTTGAAAGAAATCCTGGGTGTCAGTTAAAAATCAAGATTGAGAGGAGGGAAATTGGGCTGTGTGGGGACTCCCTGGCTGTCCCAGTACCCCTGCAAGTTCTTGCCTATGCTTATGGAAGCTTTGAAAACAACTGGAGCCATGGATGAAACTTTGGGACCCTGGAAGCCCACCTCTTTATCCATAAACATAAAGCTTGCCTAGAACCCTACAGTTTCTAACTCTATACCTGTATCTTTAGGCCACTTCCAAGAATCCTGTTGCATGGTAATAAGCTGTATGGGGCTAAAAGGATGTATTTTTTGTCAATTTGTAATAGGTTGTGTTCTGGAGAATTATGTTGAATGAAAGGGGATTCTAATTTTTAAAAAATAAATACACCCACCTCTATTAAGATGTATACATATGATTACATACATGAATAATTGTCCATTCATTTGAGGGTTAATCTCAGGAGACTTTTAGTAGCAAATCTCATTTTTTGAACATATAAAATGTGATTTTTAATTATAAAAATATTGGTGGCTATATTAACTCTTTAGAAATAGAATGCCTCAAATAAGTATAAGTCATTCTGGAGTTATCTGATTAGGCCATGCATATTAAGCATGTTAGAAGCAAATCATCTAATAATGGCTGTTTTAAAAAATTCGTATGTGTATGTTCTTCTTTTTTTTTATAGATAAAAAAAAGCAAGAATCCATTGTGGGTGGAGGGACAACCAGGCATTGCTTTTATGGACTTGAGCCTGATTCAGAATATAAAATCAGTGTTTACACGAAGCATCAGGAGATTGAGGGACCCAGTGTGAGCATAATGGAAAAAACACGTAAGTCAAATGTGTTCTCTCCTGATTTCTTTCTCTGCAGACAAACAGTACTTTAGGCATCCTGTTTTGGTTCAAAAACCTTATTCTATTTAAAAAACATTAGTTATCGGTGCCCAGGAATATCTGTAGTACAAGTTTTGCGCCTCTTCTCCGGTCTCAAAATCCATTGCATGTGGCACACTGATGTCATCTGTATGGTTTTTTTCCATCCTTTGTATGTTTCACAAGGGACTATCAGGCCCTATGATAGGAAAGTGCTTGAAACAATGACCTATATTGTGATCTGTATCCATAAGGAACATTTGTGCTATGTGGAGTGTGAAATGAAGTTTAAGGCCTGGGTCCTGACATTAAGACAATGGCATATTACCACAGCTGTGAGGATGGGAATGGGGCCAAGGTGTCCCAACTGGCTGACCCTAGAGTTACTGCCTACTGAAGAGCTCTGGCGCCTTTTCCATGTGAGCTGCGGGTCTGATGCACTGAAGGGAAAGGCAAAGTGTAAAATTAAAACAAAGCACTTTTTACATGTTCTAAAGAGCAAGGAGGGTGTCAGCTTCTTGGAATGGCTTTTAATCAAGGATTCCTGACGTAATGGCCACAGATAAAATGGTTTGAATTGTAGTGAATTCTGCTAGACATTTGTGTGTCTAATTCAGGGCTTTGAACTTAAACTTGAAATCTTAGAGGGTTGGAATGTGAAAAGGTGGTGGTGAAAGGCTTTTTTGGTAGCCCCTCTGTCATGTATCTGCCGTGTAGAGAGTTCTATCTACATAGAGTCTTCCAGTTGATTTGACACATGCAAAAGGAAATCATCATCAATGTGTGGCCCTCAAAAACAGAAAGTGAAAGTATAATATATTGATGCATCTGATGTTTTTCTAAGGCAAAGACTTTATTTCATAACACTGAAATAGTCAACATTTTATATTACACATGTATTTTTGAGGTATGATTTACATATTATAAAAAATTCACTCATTTTAAGTATATGATTCAGTGAATTTTAGTACATTTAAAGTGTTGTGCAGCCATCTCCACAATCTAATTTTAGAACATTTCCATCAGCCAAAAAGATCTTTCATGCCCATTCCCAGTCAATCTCCTGCCCCATCCTCAGCCCCAGGCAATTTACCTTCTTTTCTTATACATTTGCCTTTTTTGGACATTTCATATACAAAGGGAAATATGGAAAATGTAGTCTTTTGCTTCTGGACTCTTTCACTTAGCATGTGTTTTTGAGGTTCATTGATGTTGTTGACATCATGTTCATAGGCATCAGTAATTTGTTTCACTTTAATGCTGATTAGAATTCTGTTTTGTGGGTAGAGGAACATGTAATTCTGAAGTTATCGAGTCAAACAGGCTCAGTTTGCATTGTGAACTTGGGCAGTTCAACATATCTGAGCATCTTTTTGCTCATCAGTGTTAAACACCTACTCTCTTGCCCTCTGCGGTGGTGGTAAAGATCCGAGTGAACCTGTTGAAGTTTTCAACCTGTATCTTACTGAACAAGTATCTGTCATCACCATGACTGTCTTGTTGGAAGTCACAAACTGATGGCCATGGCTTTAGATTCCACCATCAGACATGTGTTTTTATGTTTTAAAGTATCTTTCGAAAGTTCAAAAGATATGGCAACACAGGACACACACGTCCTCATGGTGCCAATCTGCTGAAACCATGTGACCACTGTCTCTTTTAGACAATGTATGTATGTGCTCTCAAGTTTGCTGCTCCTTAATATTTAGGCTAGTCCTTTGCTCATATCCACTATTTGCCTGACCTCTAAAAATTTTTGAGTTTGGGGCCCCTGGTCTACCTCTATTCCCCCTAACCTTAATCCCACATCTGTTAACTACCAACCCAGACTTAATTTGGATAGGTCTGTTTGATATAGATGTTTTCCTTAGGTTGAGGATATCTGCCCTGCAGCTTCCACCCACCGGGCTCTAGTTCAAACTTCTGTAGCAATGTGCACCAAAACTGCTCCCTCTTCTGTGTAACAGTCCCTCACATACTTGAGGACAAGGACCATCTGTCTGCCACATAAAGAATAAAAACATGTGTTGCCAGCTCATTGTGGTTCTTCTTCTTACTCATGGGATTCTCTGGCCAGATGTTCTACCCAAACATATTGCTCTGTCTGCCATAGGCTGTCACTGATTTGGTTCCTGATTTATTGACCAAACTTGGGACATGCCTCAATTTTTCACGTTAAAGAACATGCATAAAGATGACCGATGATTTCCACAGAATTTAAGAGAAAGAAATCTGGCTTTAGAAGCATTTTGTGGTGCTTTCAAGAAAGGATTGCAATGCTAGTTTTAGTATTAAGATTTCTCATTTTTTTTTTTACTATTGAAACGTTTTAGCTTCAAACAATTCCCCTTAAAAGATAAAAGGAATATGTGTCCATAACAATAAAGTACAACGCTAATCCCTCTCTTCTCCCATTCTTCCTTCCCAGAAATACCCATATGTGTTCATCTATATTTATTATACACACACACATATATATGTATATACATACACATACTAATATTATGTATGTAATATATAATAGAAATATTTTTATGTTTTACAAATAGCATCATGCCATGCTATTTTGTGACTTGCTTCATTTTATGTTATAATTAATATCAAACATTTTTGCATATCAGTAATATATAGTTAACCTCATTCTTTTAAATGTTGAATCATTTTACTCTGTTTTATTTTATTGGCTCTTAGAATTGGAAGAGCCCTTAAAATTCATCTCTTCCAACCTTCCTGCCAGTGAAGGAATTCCTTTTACAACATTCCCGGCAAAGAATCAGTTTGCCTGACCTCAAATCCTTCCAGCTATTTGGAGCTTACTGCCTGCAGAGGCTGAACATCCCCTTCTGTGAATGTCTATGATGAGTCAACGATTTTCCCTCATATTCAACTGGGATGATAGAAATAATTTTCTCAGTATTTCTTAAATTTTTAGGGTCATGTAAGAAAGAATATGTAAAAACATGGCATTTAGGACGTTTACCTGATGAGCCCTAACTTGCTCTTCCTCTGCCACCACTGATGGAACTAACTATCCCTGGGTCCTTTAACCAAACCACACTTCCGCAGAGCACATGGACTCTCACCCTACATCATCCACTTTGAACTGACCCGGGCACACTGTAGCCTCCCAGTGTCCCACCCTTTGGTCCTCAGAACTGAAAGTTTTTAGAGACAGTCTGAGCAGAATAGGGAGGGAATTAGATCCACTGGGGCCTCCATGCTGGGGATGCTGGGTCAGAAGGAGGAGCGTGCTGGTAAGCGAGGATTCATGGTCAGTTCTTAGTTAGGCAGAATGGAAACAAAGTTTACTGTATGCATGAGAGCAGCCAGAGAGGAATCTGAAATAGGTTGGCAAGATTCCTACCTTAAATCACCATTAGAACCACTTTGTAGTTGACAATTTGATTGCATTGACTCTGCTGGGTCAGCTGAACTGTGGCAAAATAGCATTTGAAGCCTTCAGTCTGAAGTTGAGGGGTTGGATGGAGCTGGTTTTCACAGGCTGTGGATGTTTTATAATAGTCATTGAATTCGTTGTATCCTCAAAGAAGACAGTTGTTAAAATTGTTGATGGCTCTGAAGGATCCTGATGCCATGGCCTCCCTTTCTCCACCCCAGACGAGGTGGCTGACTGATGCTCTTTTTACCTCTCCTTTACAGAATCACCTCCTACTCAACCACCTACTTTTCCTCCAACCATTCCACCGGCCAAAGAAGGTAAAAGAATAATTCAGTCATGACATGATTTTAGGTTAAGGATTTCTATTGGTTTTATTTGTTTGTTCACTAAAAACCCAAGATATTAATAAAAGATATTTTCTCTTTAACACAAGTGCTTATCAAATCCTGATAAGATGTAAACTTGTAATGAGTAGTAAATGAGACACAGAGATCTAATGTATGGTATAATGAATATAAATAACAAAGTATTGTAGTATAATCATGTGATGTGAAAGAGGTGCTAAATATTACTATAATAGCAACCATATTACAATATATAAATGTATCAAGTTAACGTGTTGTACACTTTAAATTTGCACAATGTTATATGTCAAATATATTCAATAAAAAAAGGAAAAAATACTCATGTAATGATAGATTCTGTGCACGTAAAGTAGATTTTCTAACAGAATTGCTTCATATTTACTCCATTAAAAAAATTTCAGAGTAGTAAATATTTCACCAAGGAAGAATAGTTGCATAATTAGTGAGTGAGGATCTAGTTTATAATTCTGTAGACAAGGGCAATCGTTTCCAGCTTACCTCTGAAGTGCCTCCTCCCAGCTGTTTCTTTCT